GATAACAACATACTTTAATGTTTGAGTGGTAGTAGAGAAGAGATACTATAAAATTTACGCATCCAAAATGAAAGCATTACAATTTTCTTACTTTAAGTTTTCATCATCAATTTATACGCTTTTAAAGTTGAAAAAAGGGGGGAGGGGTAAGACAGAAAACAGAAAAATTGATTAACAGAACAGTGTTAGCTTGTAGGTTCACATAGCAACTCAAAAAGCAAAAGCGGTTACAGTTTATGAGATTAAGATTTTTTCAGTTAGTTGAGATCACTGATTTTGATTAGTCATCTAATTCAGTGATCTCAATTCACTGAACAAATCTTAATCTCATAAACTGTAACCGCTTTTGCTTTTTGAGTTGCTATGTGAACCTACAAGCTAACACTGTTCTGTTAATCAATTTTTCTGTTTTCTGTCTTACCCCTCCCCCCTTTTTTCAACTTTAAAAGCGTATAAATTGATGATGAAACCTTAAACTAAAAAAATTTTAATGCTTTCATTTTGGATGCGTAAATTTTATAGTATCTCTTCTCTACTACCACTCGAACATTAAAGTATGTTATTATCATCTATATAACCATTGTAATTTCAGGTATTCTGCAGCTGATGAGAACCTGTGAAATGGAATGATATCATTTTATACTGCGAATTTCGTCTTCCTTTCTTTATCGAAATTTATCAAGGGAACCAAATGTATGAAATTAAATTATTAACTGTTAGCTCATAAAGAAATGTCTTCAGTATTTAACACAATACACCAAGAATGCTGCCTGAGAAGATTGAGTAGAAAATCAACCATGAAGCATTAAAGAAAGTCTACATTCAATAACAGATGACTCAAAATTATCTGAATTAGTCCTTTTAAAATTTTAGAAAATACTCATGGAAAAATACACTCCTCTTATACCATTTATACTGGTAATGAAGTCTATGTCTGAACATAAGTTGTCAATTGTCAATAAGACAAGTGGGACAAATTGGCGATAAAATGCTGTTATTTTAGTCATTTACATTGTCAAAATAAAGCATTTTTGAATAAATTATTCCGAGTTGAAACTTTTTGTCAGTTGATCAGAGAAATCTCTTCACCACACAGTATCACGGAACATACTTACAAATTACTCTTTAATTGCAAGCATACTTCGCTGTACAAAAGTGAGGAAGAAAATCATGTCCTTCTTGAAGGATGAATGGCGTTGGGAGGAACAGAGTATTTTTCTTTTTTACCTAAGTCAGTCAGTCTCTTTCTTATTACATCTTTCCTTACTTTTTAGTTCTGCTTTCTCCGCGTCGATATCTTAATATTTTTTATGCTCAATAATAAATTTGAAGCTGTGAACTTTAACAGTGCACAGTCTACTATAAATAAGTGAAATAGTTATGAAGTTAAATAATCACCATTCGACAGTTCAGCAACAACAATTTAAACTTATCATTGTCACAGTGAAAAATCCACCAGTATGCTTTTAGTAAATACTAACCAGATACTGAAAGAGACAGTAATCTAAGTTCCAACATCAGAAAAAAATGTGTACGATGCTTTTGTTCAGTGACAGTCATTTTCTTAGTCTCTGTACTGTATCTACAGTGACTTCGTAAACAAGGCATTATATGAAACTGAAAACTCTTTGGCAGGTTAAAATGCTAAGTCATTTTCAGCTAGCAGTTCATTTTTATTCGCACATATAATGTCACTTCAGAAAATTTTTTTTTGATCATCTAATGCTCTTTCCCTGAAAAAGTTTTCTTTATCACATTGCCTTCACTCCAATCATGCACTAGTAGTCAATAAATGTTGGACTGATTTAGAACTGTTTCGTCTTTGCAGTTAGAAAAACAAACACCATCAGTGAGCACAGTCTTGAATGTACGAAAATCATATCATCTTAGCGATTACGTTTGCCTTTTTCAATAATGTACGACGTACTCAGCTGCTTAATGAAGCCAATGTAAGATCTTACTTAAAGCTGGATAAAATTGGATGTGTAATTCTATCGAAAATCCTACCATGTTTAGACGAAGGTGACTTAGTTCTGCATTTGCAGTAGAAAAACATTTAAGACATTATTATGGGCCATTCATAAGCATAATTGTTTTTCACAAGTTGATACTTATTAACACTGTGTATCGACATTACTGAGGTAACCCCTTTTCCCTTCACCTTTCAAATCTAAGTTACACGGTGTCCAAGTCTATAACTTTACTACTAATTGGTTCTGGCGATGACTGAATTCCTGTATTACTGAATGATGTATGCAGCATAGATTATTGGTTATTCAGCCTTGACTGTATGTACTATAGAGTGGCAGTAGCCTGTCTTTTATCTTAGCAACCACACTGTGAACTTAACAGATTAGGATTAAGGTTAAACATCAGAACTGTTTAACATTTAGTGACCAGGACTTTTACATGTAATTAAAAGACAGGTTTGTAAACCACTTTTGCGTCACTATTCCAATTAAGTCTAATTCATAATCACCAGTGACCTTATCAGCTATCTCAGCCAGTAAACAGTGAATTAATTTCAAGACACATTTCATTTTAGAAAGATAGTCTGGGCAAAACAGTTTTCAGTCATATTCATCCATCATTCGTTTTTATCTCATCCTCCACACCCCACCCTATTTTCTCCCTTTTTCTTCATTTCCAAGAAGTCTCCGAGACTTCACTAATTGATTCACAAGGACTAACAATATGTGCATAAATCCTTTTGCAAACAATTGTTGTACAAAAATCAGCACCGAAAACACTAATGATTATAAAAACAAATTACATTTTCTTTTGGATTTACCTGGACAGGTGATTCTGTCTGGTATTTTTTTTTTCATATTTCAGTCGTTACGTGCAGTGATTTTACTTTGTCATTTTCTATTTCACGTCATGTTTATAAATGTACTTTAGTATAGCACAAGTTATATGCATTCTAAGTATTTCCTCAGCAAAATTTTTCCTTCAATGTTTATTTTCACTTCTGGTTGATAGCCTGAACAATTTTAAACTTCAGTCTCACTTTCATGTGTATTTAATGTGAAAGAATTTAATTAATATTTGCAAACTGTATGTAAAAATAGGTAACCAGCAATAGATTTGCAAAATTCTTCATCGGCTCCAATCCTAGAGGTTACTTTAAAATAATAATAATAAAACCTCAGAAACGCCTATTGTCCACTTGAAAATTTGATAAACTCAACGCAGGGGAAAACTCAAGATCAGATGGCCAGAAAGGATCAGCAACAGGGATCTCTGACGATGAGCGAACCAACCAGGAACAAAATAGGCAGGAAGAAATGGAGATGGATTGGCCATACGCTGAGGAAACCATCAAGTGACATCACTAGACAAGCCATTACTCGAGTGGAACCCGAAAGGGAAGCGGCTAGTTAGTCGTCAGTGCAAGGGTGACTTGGAGGAGGTCATGTGAAGAGGAGATGAAAGCATGTGTGCAGACGTGGAGCGAGGTGAAAATGTTGGCAGAAAACAGAAGGCAATAGAGATGAGCAGCTGAAGCCCTATGTTCCTCTAGGAATTAAAGGATATAATAATAATAAGGTGAAAACTAATCCAAAGGGAAGCTTAAATAGATAAGAAAGTGTGAACTAGTGCCGATAAATGACCACTGTGGATAAAGAAGGGAATCCCTTCCAACGAGGTTTTCGTGCCTTCTGCCTTTATTATTTTATGCTTACTAGTAGAACTGTGGTGATACACTATGAATTATTTAATAGAACTCATCTGTTCCATAGTTCTCATTATCAGCTTAACGAAATGTTTAAACAAACATATATTTTATTAGTGAAATATCTTATTACAAAACACGATAATAAATGTAAATAAAATATAAATATTGTTGAACATATAGTGGATATTTTTTCATAACTGAAAACACTTCAAGAATTTGACTATATAAATAAAAGATTAATTACTTGTATGCGGACTTCTGAAATGATAAATGTTAAATATTTTATGATTATTTCATTCCCGAACAATCTGAATGTTATATACCTATTTGACTTCTTATGTAGCGGGCAGTAAGAAAGCATTGAGTTTTTAGGCATTAACACAGAATTCAGTAGTGAAACATTATTTCTAGTCAGTTTTGGAAATATTCCAGGCTTTTATTTTCCAGTGATAAAGTCAACGATTACTCTTCGATATTATGAACAATTCTGTGACTAGATTATGAACAACAATAGTCAGCTGTCGAACATTAAGAATTATAACTTTATACTGTTAGGTTCTGTTTGAGGTCTGTTGGTTCGGTGAATGTTAAAGTCAATACGATATATAAAACTCCCTTTCAGTAAACTTTGTTAAGTATTAAATTGTTACCGCTAGGCCCAAGGATGTCCCACTAATGGGGCTATATGCATGAAATGAAACTTATAATATTGTGTACTTAATTATCTGAATGACTATAAATAACACTTAATTTGCGCTTTATCACAGGTTACATATAAAGGTGTATGCCTTACTTCTATATAGGACTAAATTTCGCGACAGTATATTTAACTTTTGGGTATTCGCTCCTTTTGAGACAACTTCTAAATCTCACCTGACTTCAATAAATAAAGAAGGACCAAAGATTTGCAAATCTAGTCTTGCTTTCTTCATCAAAATATATGAAAGGAACCAAATCTGTATGAAATTCCTTCTGATTACTTTACATCATACGTGTTCCTGTTATACCTGTCTTATACTAAATTAATGAACCCTACATGCTTATTCAAGTCCATTTGTATGGTTCATACAGTAACGATTGAAATGTAAACCTTATGATTATTATAACTAACGGCCTCGAAACTATATGCATGACTAAGTCAAGCTACCTACAGACAGACATTTTATTTCTGTAACTTATCTCAGTATTCTTTGTGCAGCTGAAGCGACTTAGGCTTTTTTCTAACCTCAACTATTGTGTTACACTTCAACACGATATCATATCACCTTAACAAAATGATGGTGATGAATATATTTATTTTTTCTTCGATATTTCTATTTAGCTGATTCCATCATAACTCAAGACGTTGAAGAAGGTATTTTAGTTAGAATACTATGCAATGTAAGCGGAGATGATAAACCTGATGGAGCTGGTCCATTTCGATATGAATGGCGTAATCCGAATGGAACACTGGTCGGAACTCAGTGGAAATTAGAACTGGGTCAAATTAAAATGCACGAATCGGGTATATATGTGTGTCGTGTATCTTATGAATATAATGAGCGTCAAATGTCAACAAGTTCAGCCACAAAACTCAATGTCATTCCACGTGAGTTATTTCTTTTTTTATATATGTCCAAACCAAGTTCACTTTTAACGGTTTGAAAAAATTTGGGTATTGGGTATATGATATTCATTATAATAGTGGTTTTTTCATTCATTGGGAAATACAAAAACCTGTATTATAATGTATTTCTTTTTTTACTGTGATTTCTGAAGTATCAGTTGAGTCTGTTGTTGAAATCATCACAACTTTTACTATTCCAAAAAATATTTTCTTAAGATTTTCATTTCTTTATCTGGTATCTTCAGAGTGTTCACATTTTCCTAAAACCATGAGACCGTTAAAAGCACAAGGGTAGAATTTTTCAGAAATACATTCTTGCAAAGCGTATTAATAAACACTACTATGGTTGATAAAACAGACATTTCCTACCAAGAGTGTGTCACTGGTACTAATTATGCATGGATATAACCTCGAAATCGACTGATTACATGTGATTACTGTAACTTAGGAGGTTTGTAGGGATACCAGTATAATTCTGCATGCTTTTCGTCTAAATAAAGCAATGAAAAATTTACGGATTAATATATATGTATATATATATCTGCATTTTTTTATGAATGAGTATATTTGTAAGTGACTTTGTATAGAGCAGTTTTACTGTTAACGTATTTTACAATGTCATGGAACAATAACGAATTTCTCACACCATTATATGAACTCAACTGACTGTTAAGATAGAAAATTATATTTGAAAAGTATTGGTTACTGGTCACTAGACAAGCCCTCGATTGCAACCTGGGGTGAAAAAGTTGGCAGAAAACCGAAGGCGATGGAGATGCGCAGCTGAAGCCCTATGTTCCTCTAGGAATTAAAGGATATAATAATAATAATATTAATAATAATAATTGGTTACTGATGTATGTTAGTGAATTTAGTTGACTACTGAGATCGAGTTTATGCCTGTGTGTACTGTGAAATAAAATCAACATGCTTAGCTTAACGCTTGTCTTAGGCCATCCCAGGTAACTTAAGATAACCCAGCACTCATTCAATTCTAATATGTTATCTAATGGTTTTGAAGGAAGGTTTTCTGCCCTAATACAATAAAATCGAAACATCATTGTTAAACTACAAGCTGTTACAGTATCTATGGCGAATAAAACTGCATTTGTGTTTATGAAAGTGTAAAGAATCAATAGTCTGAAACCGTCCTTAACTTACTGACCAATCAGATTATAAGATAACCGAATAAATAGAATAATGAAGACAAAATGACTTGATCTTCTTGATCCACCTCACTAATGACAGTTACTAATAGTGTCTATCGATCCACATTCACTTAAGTGTACCTTTGATGAAAGTATTCTGTAGTAATTTGATGGAACTTTATCATACAAGGTGATGCTAATAAAGGTCAAGAGAAATAGTTAAACTGATTATATTAAATTGTTCAAATGTTTGTCAAACATTATGAAAGCCATGGGTCTCATTAAATGACAAATTTAATAAACAAACAAATTATGGAAGATTGGAAGTCAGTATTCAATAATTGCTAATTAAGATGCAAATAAACCGACGAATATGATTACATAGCATTATGAAAAAGTGAAAATCCACGTTTCTCATTCACAAACCCTTTGGATGAACTATAAAAATTGACACTGAAGTGTAATCCTAGGAAAGACCATTTAATACTGGTAGTAGAGCACTAATATTAACAGCTAGAATCAGGAATCCGGATTTCGTCAAATATCAGGATAAAAATGAGACGCTGTTGTAAAATACTGTTATTTGTTGATCAACTTGTTTGCTAAGTATATCACAAAATGACGTAGTCTTACTTAATGGATATTTCACACACGATTTTTGTTTGTAGTCATATAAAGCTAACTTTTATTTCGGTTGTCAATGTTATATCTGTGTTGAAAGGAGTAAAGTCTGAATTATACTTGTACTTTTTAAGGTTATAATCAGGGTAAAAACTTCCCAACAGATAATTACATATTACCTAGACAGACTATACATATATTTTTATGATACATCTAAGTTTCTCCCAGTCACCATATTTTAGCTTTTCATATGACATGGTAATATAAACAGTATTCTATTGTTTAAATAATGACGGACAAAGAAAATTGGATAGTGCAAGTAAAGCGAATTATTAAACTTCCGCGATATAAAGTATTTTATTACTTAACTTAGAACTTTCAAAACCGCTAAAGATAGTTCGCAAGCAAGTCAGAATCAGGTAAGAAACTACTGATAATCAAAGTTGGGTTGGGTAGTTGTTTTAGCATGTAATACCAATACCGAAAAATTGTTATTAAAAAAAATATATTCTTTAGGACAAAGTGCAGTTTACCAACTGACAATCAACAAATAGAAAAGCTTGCACTATGAAGTCCATAACTATTTCGCTTACTGCTGGGATTTATTGCATTAGATACAGTTGTTATTGTGTCGTTTCAGTGCTTCATGAGATGAAACTGTTAGAATTTCCATTATGCTAATGTAATCACCTCTATAACATTAGCTTTCTAAATAAGCTGGTGCAATAATACTACTTAAAATGAACAAAAATGGTTTTTCGAATGCGCACTTAAATTATTCAAAGATACATTTTCTGACTAGAAATGTGATTCATTAGAAATGTGTAGGTGTTTTTGGTAAAATAACTTTTATATGTCCAGCATTTTGTCCTGGTGGTTTTGTCCCCTAAAACTAGAATTCACTTTTAATAATAATAATGTTTTGAATCTGGAAGTCGAATTTCTCAAGCGCAGAAAATTATTTCCTAACTGCTATCAAATGTCTGCTTCCTAGATATCGACCGTTTCCAGGTTTTAGTGAAAAATTATGTTTTTTCGAGCTTCCTATATTGCGTAGGAAATTATTATTTATGCGGATGATTATATTAGAAAAATTTGTGCATAAATTTTGCATATGTTCATTTGTGGAATGAACAGATGTTTCATATAAGCAAGATGTTCAAAAGAAATTATACAGCTGGTAAAGATTATATCACACGTAGATAGATTACGTCTGATTTTGCGTACTAAAATATTCCTTTAGTGCACCACATTTATTTGGTTTGCATTGGCATTTTTCTGTAAAAATGATTATCTGCTTAGTAGATCAACAATAAAGACTACCTGTAAACTGTCTTCAAGTTATAATAAGGGTAATTTACAAATGGGTATTTTTATGAAAGACTAAATATACTGCTAGTATGAATCAAATGTTTTACTATTTACATTGGAACAGGTGCTGGCGTCATATTCCCTGGGATTCGTGGAAATGTTTTGGAAGTTCGAGAAACAGGTGATATCTTACAGGAATGTCAAGTGATCAGCGCAAAACCAGCCCAATATACTTTCCAGTGGTTTGGTCCAGATGGTCGATTAGTATCAAATTCTGCTTTACTTCAAAGAGATTATGTGACTAGACCACGTGATGAAGGCATTTATCGTTGTGTTGCTACTCCTGTTGAAGAGGGACGATTGCAAGTTGAAAATCACCTCATAGTAACATTGATACGTAAGATGACCTAAATATTCACTTTTTGTTCTACTATTCCGAAGACTCAGAATACGGTCGGATATATATATATATATATATATATATATATATATATATATATATATATATTTCAATTACTGAACAGATAATATGAAGCTATTAACAATGTATGATACCGACTTTAGGCCACACTAGTGACTGCTTTGATCAAATCTTTATAAAACTAAGGAATTGAGAACATAGCTTCTCGTAAAAAATGCCACGAAAACAGGAATGGATTTGTTTTTATGAATTGAAGGTGGAAATAAAATAATTCACTCATTTATTCACTTTGCAACATTTTAAAAGCTATCAACAAAAAATGAACGCTGAACAGTTTTAGTGTTGTATTTCGGGTCTCTTAAGCAGAGTGCATCCACTTCTTCAATTGGAATAAAGGCCAAGACAGTGGTATGTCATTACGGATACTTTATAATTCCACCACCAGATTACTTTATTTAAAACAAAGTTTCAAAATTACACAAGTCTTTGGATTTCGAACATTTAGACAGACAGTAGGATATATACTTTAAAACTTGGCAGTTTTACATTTGAATTTACTTAAGAAAACCAACTTTTTTTCTGTTATCTGTATTTTTATTTCTGTCCGTATTACTCGATCAATCCGTATTCATTATTTAGGACAAAGTTCTGTTTGTATTGATATGTTTATTTTAACAAGTAGCGACTACCTATTCATATTTTTTATTATCTGATTAGCTGAGTCAGTCACTATGATTACCACACATTTGATAAGATCAATTATATTCTATATTTATTTCACCTTATGACTAATAATTTCATCAGCATTAAACTTAGACTTATACGGTGGAAGTGAAAACATCCATTACCACTGTGAAATAAACAGATAGTTTGAATAGAATAGTCAAACTTGTAATATTAGTTCACATTAGACCATTAGCACAGTTAATTTACGGACTAGCATATTCTGTATCACAATATTCTGTATGTACCAATTCGAACGTGCATTTTAACCAGTGGAAACACTCCGCATAATGTCAAAAAAGGCTTAATTAAACATCAGTGACAGAATTGACGGATTTATTTATCTTACAATATGAAAAGTGAATCTAATCAGAATACTCAGTTTTGGTTAATATTGACGATGATATATGAGGATACTATCTTAAAAGCATCATTTCATCCCACTTGAAGTGAGACGAAATGATGAATTTTAAGATCACAGCTTCACATCTTCATATATTCGTGTTGAAAATAATCTGAAAATTGTTCACTATCTTGACAACTAAAACGCCATACACTGTAGAATGATATCTAATCATGAATAACTGAGTAGTTGTTTTGTCTTGTCTTAGTGGTGCGCAACTATGAATATTTATGAGTTCTAAACCAGATTAGTTATGTTTTTTGTAGTGGAAGTTTATTGGAACTCAACTTAAGAATAACTTAAATAATATCACTTTACATGACACAACAGATCACTTTTTTTCTTATTTACTTATTTTTCTTAGCCACAATACGAGCATTATTTATAATGTTGTTGAGAAATAGCAATTAACATGAGTCTTACGGTAACTTTGTTGTTAACTACTTAAACCGAATTCGGTAGCATCATACACTTATCAATAATCACTAGCGCAAAAATATCACGTAAAAGAGACCTCAGCAAAAAAACTTGTTGAGAAATATTCCTTTCTAAATGCCACAGACTTTTTCAACTGTCATTCCACTTGGTTAAAATTGTCTACTTTTGGAAACATACCAAACATTTACAGAAATTATTCTTGCTACAGTATGACAACACCTCCCTGACATGTCCAAATTTCATTTTATTAACAAGGAATTTTCTTCATGAATCTTATACACCGATTAATTCGCAGCCTTTTTCATTACATTCCATCAATACAGCCATCCTACATTAATGATAATCATTTTGAATGAGTTTATAAGCTATCGTCAAAACAAATTTACCTCCGTTTCATTTCCGCCTACTTGAGTAGATGGTACAGAGATGATCAAATGTGATTTGAATTTCCTCGAGTAGATGGTGTTATGTGATTTTGTGTCACATGCTTGTAAGAATGCTGTAATCATGCCAGATGTTACATTTGGCCAGTTTTTTTTACACACCTGGAATATCTATTGTGGTGTTTTGTATGTTATATGGGAAAACACCTTGCGATTACTTTTATCTCATCCCATTGCTTTTTCTAAAGCATTTGAAAACTAGATATTTACCAATTTTCAAATATTTTTTCCAGCTCTGCGTTTCCAAATAACAACTCTGTCAGAAGATTTAAGTATCGGAGGTTATACACATCGTCGTATTGCACTAGTTGAACCATCGCAGCCTAATCTTTCTACTCGTGAGACATTCACATATCAATGGTTCGATACTGAGATGAGGCCAATTGTTGATTCCATGAGACCAGATTTACGTGTCAACTTCCGTACTCCATCGGATTTCGGGAGATATTCAGTTCGTATTACGGGTTTGAATTCTGGTTATCAAAGGAATCTTAGTACATATATAACTCCAGAAGGTAAGCATGATTTAATGGTACTCTAAACAATGTTTCTTTTCTGAAAGTTTCCGCCAAACATTGACCACATGAATGCCCGTGTATTATTTTATTTTCCGATTACAGTAGTATAAAAATATAGATTGTAGCAGAAAAACACTGGCAATTAATAGAAAAGGCATATACTCTTATCAAGTAAAGTTTTGGAATAGTCATGTTAACTGTTTTAAAGTGAAACTGAAATATAAACAGAAACAACTCGTATCAATTTGAAATTTAATTCAATGCAATAATAGGGAAAATGATGAAATTATATACGGAGATTTTACTTTCGATAAAAATCGACTGCTAAGTCAGTTTAAAACTGAAAGCAATGTCCCTTTGAATGTAAACAATGTTTGCTTTTCGCTAAAATTAATCCTTCTTGAATGTGTAACTATCCAATGTGATTTCTAACTTTAAATTCAGGTCCAAATGGTGAAGTAGAACCAACGTACTCAGTTGTCATTCGAGAAGTCTCTGGCCCTCTTTATTTAAATGCACGGCTAGAATTGGAATGTTCACCGAGACCACCAAATTTAGCAGCCAGAATAAATTGGCTCGGTCCTGATGGAATGGTAGTTTCAGATTCTAGCAACATTGTATTTGAGCGGTTTCAACCTCATCATCAAGGAAGATACACCTGTCAGATTTTATTGCCTAATCAAGTTATTTTACGCCAGGTACACTTGTGTTTACTCGTTTATTTTTACTGTTTAATGCTAACTGCGATATACTTATGTGTAAATGTGAGTAAACTGGAATTTTCGTTAACTACAGGATTGTAACCGAACACCACTGGTTCGATGAACTCCTGAGTGCTTACTGGTAAATCAAGTATGTAAGTTGCTGCTACACTGTTGATATTACTGTAAACTGGAATTCTGTTGTACAGAAATTTATTACTGCATTTACCTGAAATCGAAACCAATTCTTAGCTTCTCATGATGACAAACTAGTATAGCTGTCACTCGAAATTCTGATAAAAAATTTTGAATTTGCAGCACAGGACCATGCGTTATCCTGATTAAGAAACTTCATTTATCCACAGTTTACATACAAGAAGCAAGTTAGATATCTTAGGCAGGTCAACCTGGTTTGTGTTTTGTTTGATACACAGATTTATATGAAAAGCAATGTGTACACCGACATATGGTGGTGTACAGACAGTTATAATCATCGATTATACCATGAAACTACTGAGTGCTATCTTCTGAAGGCACAAGCCTACACTGTCTTCAGGCTGTCTACTGATGTTGGCTTTCAGTTAATATTTTGATCCAGTATATGACTGTAATTGAAGGCTGGACAACACTACTTAGTAAATAAAACTACTGGGAGGAGTTTCATCTAGGCTGGTGGACTTGTGAACATAAAAATTTTTAAAACAGTTTGTCTGAGTAAAATTCTTCCCTTGATAATTTTGTTTTTAATTGTCGATACATGTAGGATACACAAAAGACGTTTACAAAGTTAATGTGGTTTAATTTAAATATTCATTAAAAGGAATCAAAGTGAGATTCATAAGATATGAACACTAGAAAAGACTTGCACACAAAACTTCAAGTTAACAACGCTAATTATTCAACATAATGTAGCACTATTGGGCAAACAATATCATTATGATCAACTAATTGACTTCTCAGTAGGACGTAGAGAATAAGCGGCACATCTCAGTTATACTCGGTCTCCTACCATCACTTTCATCTGAATCCACCACCACCTACAAGCTTTCATTTTCCCTAAACATTATCTTCACGTCAATCTCAAACGCCCATAAACAGGGGGAAGTTTATTAGGTAATACTTTGTCATTTCTAAATGCTTTAAAATGAAATTGTATAGACGCAAGTTAACACGTAACTGTCTTATGTTTTTCAACAATTCATTAGAGCGTAGAACTGGTTGTATCTGGTACATCTACTGAAGTTCCTGAGCCTGACAGACGTTATACCATAAGAATAATTCAGTCGCCTACATATTTCCGATATAATGATGCCGTCCATTTACAGTGTGTTGTTTCTCCTACACCTCCAATAGTAACTTATGAATGGTTTAAAGATGGTGTTCTCATTGGAAGGCAACCAGATCTTCATATACCACGATTTACTGCAGAAGACGTTGGTCGATATCAGTGCGTTGCTCGGCTTGATAGCACAGTTCTTACTTTTAACAGTACTATATCTATAGATGACGGCACAGGTAAGTAAATTTAAGTGCTGTGATGTACGATCACAAGAACTTGTGTTGCAAATTATGAAACAATTTTGAAAGCACAACAGACATCTTAAGTTGTCCTCATAATAACACTTTAATAGGTTCATACCAAAAAGCCATCTGAATTGGTAATCAAATTACTGTTATAGTCAAGATTTTAAGTTTTTATACTTAGCGTTCAGTCGAGTCACTTTTTAATTACGTAGTTACGAAAACAAAATAAAGAAATACTTGATACACTTAACAAAATGTGTTTCGATGTTACCATGGTATGAAATGTCGTAAAACACAATTAGTTCAAGTGATTAAGATTTCTCTAGCTGTGACTATTAGCTTCATGCAGAAATCTGTGAAATTTTGTTACACATAACGAAAATCGCAGAACATAACTGAAATTCATTGTGAAAAATATTCAGTAACTACTACCTCATGTCAAATCAGTTTTGAATTCAAAGTAATTAATACTTATATTTTTATACATTTATTGAAACAGGAGTGGATCTGATAATGAGACCAAATGTTATATATATACCGGCTTTTCACCCATTTGAGATTGAATGTGTATCTACACGTGCCGGTTTGTCACCTGTTGCCGTATTTGGAAACGGTGCATCTATTGAATCAGATAATCGATTCACAGTTACAAAACCTGATGACCGACGATTGGTTATTAGTGTTACAGATGGTTTATCAAACGTTTATAACGGTTTACGAATTCGGTATGTGAATTTCAATACTTAATACAGTAAATTTTTGAAAACAAGTTTTAATAAACAAGTGTACGTGTATACATCTTGACACGTATCCTGACAATCTGAACAAAGTTCAATTAAAATGTTCCTGGCATAGTAGGATTCATTCTAAACTGATATTATTTGCCGAATCCTTGAAACAGAGTACCCATTTTGTTTTCGTACCCCACTTTTAAACATTGTCCAAAAACACAGTTACGTCTTCATTTACTGACTTAATAGCTATTCACTCAGTGTATGACATAATATCACCAATATTGAATGTTCCTGGTGTGTAATTTAAATATCTCCATAGCTGTATTTAAACCAGCCAACTCTCACAGAGATAAACTCTGTCGGCTTAAGGACACAATAGATCCAATTAAGAAAAATAATATAATTTACCAAATACCATGAAATGACTGTGAGGTCAGTTACATAAGTCAGACAAGTAGATCGGGTCAGTTAGATTACTGGAACATAAAAATCTCTTAGGTGATTTCATAATAAACTGACATCGGTTAAAAAAACATTGGACAACCTGCAGGGAGTGCTGGACAGCTGTTTTGCCCTAGTTTGGGACTCTTTATCAGCAAGCGCTCACTACGGTTCTAACCCAGGACCTTCTGGTTACAAGGCGGACTCGTAGACACCGTTAAGGTTTTCCAGTGGTTCTCTAATCGATGTCAGGTCATGATGAAATCCTCCAAGCAATCAAACAAGATCCCTGAAAACCAATACTTTAAAATCAATGACATGCTCACTAGCGATTAGCCCTATTCAGACAGCTACCTAGGGTTCTAGTGGGAAGCTGTGACCAATGGCGTACAGCACATAGAATGTGAGGCCAGTTACTCGTCGAAGAAGGCATTGGGAGGTGGTCGCGCTATGTCATGAATTTGCAAAAGTTAGAATTCATGGGCAGTTGGATCGGGTCTTAATGGCCTACGAGCTCGCCTAGTAACCAGAAGGCCCTGAATTCGAATCCTGGCAGTGGATGAATACTGATGAAGAGTATCAGACTAGGACGAGGCAGTTATCCAGGACTTCCAGGTCTTCTAGTGTTTTTCTAACCAATGTCAGTTCATGAATAAATCCTTCAAGCAATCAAACAGATTCCCTACAAACCAATGCATAACAGTTTAGCTAAATCTAGAATAGTTGACCCTTTTAAGTCAGATAACCTAGAGAAAAGTTCAGCCATTGCATTACATCCATTTGCACTTAATCACAAAATAGGATGGGACAGGGTGAGAGGATTAAAGAGTAATCATTTCATAATTTTAATTATTATTTTCCAGTCATTCAGTGGATAATGGAATTCACCTACACATGATTAAGAAATCCGGGTGACCTACTGACATTTTAGTACAGTCGGAGACTCTTAGCCACGTCACGGTTCATTTATATTCCGTTTCTCCCCTCTAATTTCAGATCAAGAATCCTGTTGTGGCTTTCTTACAGTCACGAAGTGTTTTGTAATTAATTATCAGGTTTACCATGCATCCTGTAGAAATACACTCACTAATATTTGGCCGAGTAGAATAAAAACAAGATCAAACTATGTGTACGATTCAGAGGTACCCTAGGATATACAGTCTTTGGCATATTTTGAATGTTGGAAACAAAATAATTCGAATATACCCTTAACTAACTAGACGACCTTTGATGCATGAGAACTGGTTCCCATTGACTGTCTTTCAAACACTTCACAGCAGGGTGTTTGAAAACAGTGACACAAAATGTTGGGTAGGTCTTTGTTGGCTGGCAACCAGTAGAATCTTATGACAGTTGCAGGGATTTCTATAAAATCTAATCATATTGTGCCACACAAAATTTAATGATTACCCAATGGAAGCAATCTAAATATGTCACCGAGCAATGCTCTTTGTCTCCAAATATCTCTCTTGAAAGCGAAGGTTTCAGCTGGTTCTTATTTGTTTCTTCAGCGTGCAGTAAAACCGCTATTTCAGCATTGTGAAGGTGAAACAGAAAAGTTTGAGAAAACGATGTGCAACAAGTGGTAGGTTTATGCGGTTCTTTTGAAAGAAGTAACAAGAATTGACAATGAAAAAGCATATACCTTCACGAAACTTTGAGAATGTGTGAAGATAAATGATAAAGAAATGGTAGTTTCTTAGTAAATGGATTTATTTAACAGATTAAATCATTGTCATGTAATAATTTAACATTTATTTATTAGTTCTGATTACAAAATTAGGATGTATGCATGGAAATATATTGCAATTATTCTCACGTACTTATAAGTAATATAAATCAGTTGGACATATAAACATCTGCAATTTTAATCGTTTTTCACTGCTAGTAAAAGTCAACAAATGCACAAAATATATTTCCATAGAAATCCATTAGCCTTAAGATGTAGAAAACTGTGCACTTTATTCCGCCTGCTTAACCTCAATATAAGTTGGCACGATTATGTAAAAACTGTTGATGAAGATAGCTAAAACGAATAGTTAATTCAAAGTTAGGGATCATATCCAACAGTGTATTGACAAAACATTATGTGTGAGATCCTAATGGTGTACTATGTTTGAGTGCCATGTTCATTTCCATTCCATAAGGAATCGTTACTAGAGCTTCCTTATCAAAGGAGAAGGAAAAGAGCTCACTTAACCACAAATTTTCCTAGAAATATTCACGTATATATAAGCACCTGTTATAATAGTCATTTCTCCACATAACAAAGTGGATAGATAATATTCTAAATTATACTGTTGCCTATTGCATATTTAAACCTACTGATTAGAATGTGATCGTTGTAAGAATCTGGAACACGATTAAATCTAAACAGAAATAATGTGTCATGTGATAAAAGGGAATGACCAAACGCGTACCTAATTATCTCTTAATTCTAAAATCTACACATGTACCGGCCGAACAAATAAAGTTAATTAAGAACATATAGCACCCTGAATTAAAGTGATTTTCGCATGCGTTAAACGAAAACATTTCTGAGTTACGTACTGTAGAACACACTCTCACATGACTTCTAGTCATATTTGAGAGATTGTATGAAAACCCGCGTTTTTCAACAGTGTTTATAACATTGAAGTGCAATAGAAAACTGTGATGCTAAAAGGTCGAACGTGAGAGTTTGGCTGTTTATTCACCTACAGAGAACCCATCAAATTACAAATTATCCTAACATGATTACATAAATGTAGCTTGATCACATGAATTTTACAAATATCTAGACTTCTCAAGATTGATTAGAAATCCTCTAAACTTATTTGGTGTTTTTCATTGCCAATGTATCTAAATTTTGTGTTGTTGAAATGAGCGTGTACACACTGCCTAGTTTTGTAAATATTCACACATTGTGAAACGCCCACTATCATGTGACGAAAATGTAGAAAGATAATGACTATATACCCCAGTAAAATATCACATGTACAGAAAAACTTATACCCTCTGTAAAAATTCTTCCCTCTTAATTTGAGGTAGCTCTTCAGCTGCATCGTAGTAATTACTCTTATTCTGCAACTCTTGAGTAATGAACGATGACAGGTTTTGTTCAGATTAAAACATGCATATGTATCACATAATAAAATCACGGAGGCATTCCACTGTTAAAATTGCAGAATGACCGCTTGATTCGCGTGAGTAATAATGTTCTATTAAGACCTTGGAAAACTGTGACCTTTTACCTGTAGGTTGACATGAAAATATTCACTTACTGATTTTCTGACATATCCCATTATGTAGACAAGATTATTTCATGATACTAAAAATTATGATGGAAATATGAATAAGCCAACGATTATGTAAATTTTATTTAATTCAGCGTACAATGACATAATTTTAGACCACAGATGCTGATCTGTCACAACCTATTGTGACCTTAATCGCATTTAGCTAATTTTGCATCTATGATACTGTGCATAGTTCTACTAGTTTTTTTTTGTAATTATTGTTTACTTTGTATCCACGATGCTTTCTCCGTATTCGGATTTAGTATTAAATAAAGAGAAAATGAATTCATCAAATTAAATGCTCATCATGATAGTAGGATATAACGTTTTCCATTCGATCTATTTATCCAGGAGGCAGGATGGATTATCACTGAGGGGAGGTGAAATCCTTATTCAACAGTTAAATATTTTTAAAAGACAGTATCCACTGTGACGGCTTTCTGCCGCTCTATTCACATTTATTGAGTTATTGGTGATAGACTGCGTTCAAGCCTTCATTCAACAAATATTAGTGTATCTTATGTTGGATAATCAAACTATCATAAAGATACATTGATTTTAAATGCCTATAAAATTATTTTCGAGATATTTATCAGTTCCTGTCTAACGCTGATATTAAAAATGATTTCATGCTTTCCTAACACATGATTTTTATTATGAAAACATTCCTTGTTTGTTCTTGCATACATAATAAATAAGTGCCATTTTTTTACAAATCACGTGCGTGTGAAAATGCCATCAACAGTAATCAAATTCAGGAGTATGCCTTATTTGATGTTAATATATGCTTTTTATTCATTCACACAATAAACCTTTATTGAAAGTGCCACTCAGATAAATGAAGTGCCTTTGTTGACAATGTAACTACATTCTTATCTTTGATGATTTCAGTTGTATGTTACCAGGTATGAATTATAAAGAGGTTACATTATACATAATGGATACTTGTCCGGCAAGTCAGTCACAATGTAGAACGCGACAATGTATACAAACTTCTCAAGTATGTGATGGGAAAGCTGACTGTTCTGATAAGTCAGATGAAAGTAGCAGTTTCTGCAGTAAGTATTTACCTTGTTATAGCATATTCTAAGTTCTTTTAATTCTACGACTTTCTAGTAATCAAACACTCACCATTTTCATTTTTCTGTATCCACTGTTAATTAATGCTTCTTGAATTAGTTATTATGAACTAGTAAATACAGAGTGAACGTAAGGAAATGTCCACATATTGTGAGTTAATATATGTCAGACAATGAAGATAGTAATTAGTTTGTCTATAGTACATACCTCCCGTAAGTAGCAAAACTGATGAACTAGTTCAGAAGTAAAAGCGATGCTCATTACTCTGCGAAATGGAAAGAAATTATAAGGATTATACACAATCCTCCACTTGATAATAAGAAATGTTGTGTTAAGCACTATACATTTATAAACGTATTGCATAATCTGAGTTTTCAGTACTACTGCCGAATCAAAAACCTGACTGTTGCAAGGCATCTCGTTCACTTTTGGTCGCTTACTTACTGCAGAGCTTAAGACCGCCACCTACAGTCGATATTGTCTAGTGTTGTGTCAGTTTAAGAGTTCGGAATATTACGAAGGGAAATCAAAGGTACAATAAAATTTAAAAAAACGGAAGTTTATTTTATCCCTAATGTCCATATCTTCGTGCCAATTTTTTTCGCAATTTAAGATGCTGGACTTACTGTGAGCCCAACGCGCATTGTAGTCAGACCTTCAGAACCATTTTCATTGAAATGTCAAGCTATGCCACCAGGAATCCGTGCTCCACATGCACGATTTGTACATAGTGGAATGGATGTGGAAACAGATCCTCGATTCGTTGTTGAGCGTCCATCTGCGGGGGTTTTGCTTATTAAAGCACCACGAGGTCTGTCAGAGGAAGCAAACGATACTAGAATTGAGTAAGTTAAGAAATTTCAGTTATCTTATGAATTTTACTATTCTGTTACCTTTTGAACTATATAAGAACTCATATTTAAACCTAATTTTTTAGATGCTATTTTCCTGATGAAAGTCCCAGAATAGCTATAATCAATGTGGTTGCTGATAGATGTGGACCAGGATACTTCATGTGTTACGAAGGATCTTGCATACCATTATCTCAACAGTGTGATGGACAACCACAATGCCCAGATGGTTCTGACGAAATTAACTGTGGTATGTTGTGTTTGATAATTTTGCATTCCATGAACTTTTTAAAAAGTATAGTTAATAGATATTTATCCCACTAGAAACCGAAATTTAGATGACTGACAAACCACATTTGGAAGAGGAAAGTTACAGCTCTGCGTTATACTTAACAACATATATTTAATAATGGGTATTTCATCCAAATATGGAAAGAATTATTTTACTTAATCTTGAACCCTCTTTAAAGCCTTTCAATGACCCCAACCAGTTTGCTTATAAACATAGTAGGTGTACCTCAGATGCCGCTGTTGTCCTACATCATATTATAGTCTCTAGTTTAGATAAAGGAGCTATATAGGTTCGGTGTGCCTTCCTTGATTACACTTCTGCATTTGACTCTGTACCTAGGTCTCTCTTGCTAAGTAAGCTTGCTGCAACACAGGCTGAGAGCTGGACAAATAAGTGGCTGCATTCCTATTTTTCTGATAGGAAGCAGTACACCGTCTACAATGAGAAGTCCTCCACTATCTCACTTACTTTAGCTGGTGTTCCTCAGGATGCTGTTCTTTCTCCCTTTCTTTTTTCTTACATGACCTGCGCCATTCTGATATAGCCACTTTTGTCAAGTATGCTGATGACCTCTCTGTTTCTATGCCTGTCAACTCTCAGTCAGATTGTTCCAATTTAAATAACTTTCTATCGGAAATTAGTCAGTGGTCCTCATCAAACGGTCTTAAGCTGAATCCGTCTAAATGTCAGGTAGTCAATCTCACTTTCAGACGTAAACGTGACCTACAACAACTAGCCAGCTTACATGACCCCACTATCATTGACAGCATAGAGGTTGAAAATACATCTAATGTCAAGTACCTTGGGCTGAGTTTTTCCAACGATCTTTCCTGGTCCTCCCACATCTTGCTAGTTACTAGAAAGATGTTTCGCCTAACGTTCTACGTTAGGAAATTTAGGCAGTCTGATATAAAGCAGTCTTTGCTTTCTCAGTTTGTCAATTCTTGTATCCTACCCATCCCCCTTTACTGTTCCCCATTAATCTTTCCTGGACTACTTAAGAAAGACTTTGCTTTGCTGAGAAGGGCACACTAAAAGCCGTTAGTAAGGCAAGTGGGATATCGTTAAACCAACTGGTGAACACTATTGTAGATAGACATATTATGTCATGTAAGAAACTAGCGAATACAATATTATCGGACCCCTAGCATCCTCTCTATACGCAGCTGTCTCCTTGCATTTCATCTGGTAGAACTAGAAGCAGCTATAGGAGGCTATATGCTAGGACTACCAAATACAAAAACTCCACAATACCATATGTGGCGCAGCTGTTATGTGATGAGAAATCTTTTAGGTATGACACTATCAACTTACTGCGGCACTCTAACAAATAGTCCCATTAGTTTTTGTTTTCCTTTCCTCATTACTATTACACTGTTGTTCTCATCTTCTATTACACACTAACTTAATATTTCATATTCTGTGGTATATTGTTTAAAATGTAAACGCAATGCTGTTCTTTTTACTTATTTTTTTATTTATCTTTTTTGGGTGTTGCTTTTTGATTTTAAAATCTTATAAAATTTATGAGGTAATTAGATGCAGTATATTGTAACGCACGCTGAAAATTCCATACCTGTACCACAAATACCGTTTGGAATAAAGCTGTTATTATTATTATTCTATCCTTAAAGAGTATTTCTAGAAAATATCAACCTACCGCTGGTTTACATATATTTTCACAATTTTGGAAGCGTTTTTATATTTTGGAGTAGCGTGCAGGATTTTCAGTCTACGCGTTTAGACGGATTATTTAACTGGGGTCAAAATAAATCTGACCTTAAAGTTACAGCCATTCCCACAGAATGAGATCTTTAAGCATAACCATAAATGTCAGCCTGTAACTCACTACACTGGACATATAGGTTATAAATATAGGATACTTGGAAAATGCACGACTGTTTACACAAGAAATGTTCCACTGAGTTAATTGAACCGATTTGGTAGCCTAATAAAAGTAAACTATGATAAAGTTGTTGCTTCTGACTTCTCCAAGTAATTTCTCGCCGTGGCTGAGTTTTTGTAAACTCTTTATGATGTTATTAAATACAGTTTCATATTTCTGTTATAAATCTATTCATAATTAGATGCAGTACGTCAGTATAACTGATCATATTCCTTCGTTCATTAAGAAGTGTAAATTTACTAACTTTCTTAGTTTGTTTATCACAACCCAACAGAGTAATACACAAAACCTAGATTTAAAACTTCCATTGAATAACTGACAATTTAAGAAGGAATATAAGGAGTGAGTTTACGCTTTCACCTGTGATTTTATTCATACTAATTTAAAGACTACACTCCTAAGCGTTTAATTTATACTAAGCTTTTGTTAAATATCCAGTTTTACTCACTGAACACTAGAGATTTTCTTTTCCTTAATTTATCTCAGAATAGACTGCATTTCTTAAATCATACTGTTCATTAAGTGTTAATATTTGCACTGGTCAAAACATTATTGTGAAGCTGCTTTTTGTTTGTAGAAGAAAGAATAACAGTTCGCGTGGAACCAGATATTATTCGAATCAGACCATATGAGAAGTGGTCATTTGAATGTTCTGTAAGAGGCAGAGATGTACAGCCAATTGTGAGTTTTCAAGATGGTAGACTTGTGGAATCAGATCCTCGTTTCCGAGTGACACGCATAGATCCTAACACTGTAAGAGTTGAAGCTGTTTACGGGTTAACGGAAAAAGAAGATCGTATGAAATTAATGTAAGAATTTTACGTTGCATGTTTAATTGTATTTTTGTTAATTTTTCACTCTTGACCGTTTTCCAGCAGAAAAACTGCATTTCATGAATGTATTCTTTAATTTTATTCAGAAGAAACAATTTGCAACTCATTGTCGTGTTACCAATCTAAGTAGTCATTCGAAAGTTGTGCGTAATTCCAAATTAATGTTCACATGAATACCTTTTGAACTATTTTATTGGGCGTATACATTTTATTGATTTATCTGGTTAGTTGAGTGACATTTATAAAAACTATTTCATTCCATTGTTAACTCAGGAGGTAGTATTTGTTTAACCATTCGATTCTAGATGAGTTGTGTCACACTGATCCATTTCATACTCCTCAACAGGCTTTTCATCCACAGTCACGTTACTTAACGTCTACCTAAATCAAAACCATTTGAATAAACCGTCAGATGAATCTGCGCAACAAGCATTTCCGAATTATTTTGTGTAGTGATGCAAACTAGAAGCGTACTAAAATTTAAAAAAAACATTACAACATTCTTCTATAATAAACTGTGTAACACATAGATCACTAAAGGATAAATACCCAGCATTAGTGAATATGTTTATTTTTTGTGAACAGACTGTAGAATATTACAGAGAAGGAGATAAATTCATAAGGCTTATTTCATTCTCTTGTGGCATGAAATATGGGAGATAATTGAAGTTTTTTTGACAATTTACTAGCATACATTAACTGGTTTGATGAAAACTAGCAGCAGAAAATAACGTGTTAAATTTGAAATTTGATCGAAGTATAGTTTGGTTAAAATGGATACTCTGCTGTGCAAACTAACATTGTAATGTAATGTTGTTTACTTGAGCTTCTAAGATGAAAAACAGTGGCAATTTTTAGGCTTTGGTTTTGCGTTTCTTGATCATTTTCAAACGAATGAATCTACAAGTGACAGTTAGAATGACGCGTAGAATGGTGGTAGCTATCATTGCAGTATTTAGTGGGACATTTTAACGTTAAATTTAAAAAATCACCTTCGTTGCTCCCATTACTGTTTATAGTGTTTTTAAATCTGTTCACAACGCAGTGTCCTATAATCCACTAGACCACGGCGACATGTGAGTCGGTGGCACAGTGGTAGAATGCTCGCCGACCACGCCGGTGGCTAGGGGTTCGATTCCCGGCAGACGCACTCCTTTACCTCCCTAAGCTACTTATAAGACTGGTAAAGAGGGAAGGTTGGGCATGAGGCTAACAACCCCCTCTCGTAAAAGTAAACACCACTGCTACCGGAACTTCAAGGCTCTAACTAGAAGTCCTATGTTTCACCGGGAGCGTAAAGGAACAAAAAACGTCTGTGCATATTTAAACAATAGAACTAATAACCTTCTCGCTAAGTCTCAGAGTGAATAACAAGAAACAAATTGTTTTGGTCTCCCAGGTTGAAAAGTATACGGGCCGCTTAAACTGTAGTTAGAATGGCTATTATATGTTTATGCAAGCAAAAGTGAAACAAGCGTTTCGCCGCACTTTACTGTCTTACTGGTCCATTTCATCACAGTGGTCAGAATTAAATATCATAAATGTAATGGTATATACCTTATGACTCATTTAAAATGTTTGAAACGTAATCGATTAAGTAAACCAATCCATCCACCGTTTATAAGACTATTTTATACCAAATAATATTCTAGCCCCGAATTACAGCTCATTTTACCGTTTAAAACTTCGTAGATGTTCATTTCCGGGTGGACCTCAAGGTGAAACTGAAATTATTGTTCAACGGTTTTGTCCACGGGGTCAGTTAATGTGCATGGATGGAAGCTGTCGTCCAGAAACTGATTTCTGCAATCGTCAAATAGATTGTCCAGATGGTTCAGATGAGCGACCTCCTCACTGCAGTAAGTCCGAGTAGAAAGTCATTACCTTCAATAGATAACTTTTGTTTAGAGTAATTAAAACTATATTATTCTACCATGTTTCTAGATCCTGACTACTCATCCTAAGGTGTTTACATTTTGAACCGGAATCAGTTAAAAAATCTTGGCAGGTTAATAAGCACAGAACAGGATGACTTGTCCAAATTAAGGACGTCCCAGAGATGCGTACCCATGAACTCACACGAGATTGTATCTACGACCATTATTCAATTTTTCAGAAGTGTAATAAATGAAATTAGTAAAAAAAAGTAGATTTTGTACATATTTTGAGTGTTTCATATTTAACACCCAAGTGCGACTTTCTGTAATGACACTTTGAAATAATAGAACTAATTTAAGAGAATTAACTTCTTTTTATAAATGAAACATTTTGTTTTGCTTATGCAGGAGAAAGCATAAAAGTCGAAGTCAAGCCAAGTATTGTCCGTGTTAAACCTTACCGCAGCTTTCAGTTTGAGTGCATTTCACATGAACCTGGTGTTACACCAGAGGCAAGATTACCGAGTGGTTTGCTGGTGACTCAGGATCGTCGTTTTAGTGTGGAATATCTTTCGCCAACTCACCTTCGAGTAAATGCAATATATGGTTTAACAGATCGAGATCATCCTTTTCAAATTTAGTAAGTTCTTGGTTCACATATTTTTTTCATTCTTTTCCGACTGGAAGACAGGGTTTCCCAGCTTGAAGCCTTGCTGTTTCATTAGCTGTGAGATTCTTTTTACGGGGTGGGGATGCTATCCCTCCTTAGCAGACTTACTGTTGGTGTGTAATCTGGATGAAGCTTAGGAGTACGCTGACATGCAACCGAACGAAAGACCACATGCATGGATGGAGAACATTTTACCATGACAGCATCGTGTATGTATATATATATGCACGATGATCCTCTGATGACTAGATCACTACCTGTATTCTGAAACCACTGGTTAAAAGTCTAATTTCAACTTCATGTTACTGGGTTCAAACTAACCTAATTACACTTTCTGCCCCTACCACTATCTGAATAATTTCAGTAATATAATACAGATGCTTACTCCTTAATATTATGTAACAATTTTGCAGTTCATGTTAGTTGATGAAAATGAAATTTGAAAATTTGCTTTTAATTTTCATTAAGAAGACAGTTGCAGCGAAGAAAATTTTCTTTTCGACGAAGTCATTATCTAGGCTGTACATTCGTGTATTTATATCAAATGGATGGGAAAGTTCCAGAATAATTTCCGGTTACGGCTCAAATTTATAAAAATTACAATTAGGAATTAAAATGTCATAATAAACAGGGGGATGGATAAAACTCAAACAAAGTAGCATCATAATTTCTAAGAAGACTGACATTGTGCAATTGGGAGTTAAAAAGTAGAAATAAAAAAATATACAAGAAATTTTAGGTTAGAAAAACTAATGTGATGAATAATTGTTTATGCAATCAGGGATTAAATAAACAGAAGTTCGGATATGAAAACATGGTAGTGCAAATAGGGATTAAGAAAACTTAAAAACAACATGAATAAACAGGAAGTTTAGATAAGAAAGGCGATGGGATGGTCATTACTAAAAAAACATCCCCTTTTATGATGGCCATGGCAGGGACAGGGGTTGGACGTATTTCTTTTGAATACAATGCATGGGTTTGAGCTTTTGGATAGCTAGTGCCTCGGCTATGCCCAGATGTCTTAATTTCACTCCCTTTGATAAGTTTGATTGGATCTTGTATATTACTTTGAAGGATTTTTCGAAGGGCGCTGAATGTCCTGAATTGACTAGATGTTCTGTCACTGAACTGTATACACGTTTTTGGTCTCCTTTTACTAACCAGGCTGGGTGGTGTTCACGAGAGCGTTTTTCAAGTCGACGCATGGTACGGCCGATGTACTCAGCCCCACAAGAGCAAGTAAACTGGTATATGAACGTCGAAGTAGTCCAATGCGACAGTTTGTCTTTCCCGTTCTGCCTGAACAGTTTCTTGCAGGAAAACTTCAGTCGTAGGGTCGCAGCGAAGTATGTTTTCCTCAGAGATTCGGAGAGGCGTTTACGAGTGATTTCTGCTTCACTGTCACTTTTGAACTCTATATTAAGCAGATTGGACCTGTTTGGAAGTCTTCTTTGATTTGAGATTCTTATCTATATACCTAAGCGGAAAACCGTTTTCCGTCAGGGTTCTTCGGAGATTACGCAGTTCTTCTTCAATCACTTCCTCTCTGCATATCTTCCGAATCCTCGAGGAAAGAGCGTATATCAGGTTACTCAACATTTCTACATTTCTAATCCCAAATTGCACAATGTCAATCTTCTTAGAAATTATGATGCTACTTTGTTTGAGTTTTATCCGTCCCCCTGTTTATTATGACATTTTAATTCCTAATTGTAATTTTTATAAATTTGAGCCGTAACCGGAAATTATTCTGGAACTTTCCCATCCATTTGATATAAATACACGAATGTACAGCCTAGATGATGACTTCGTCGAAAAGAAAATTTTCTTCGCTGCAACTGTCTACTTAATAACTCCTATGACCCAATGTGTATATTCCGTAATTTTCATTAGTAACCATCATGTACAACATCAGATTCGAACTCAATTAAACTTTATCTATAAATCATTTTTATCCAGTCACACTCAATTCAGTTATTATTGAATAATTATCATTCTAGCTGTGTATTTCCTGGATTGGAAAATAGAACAGCTGTTATCGAAATCGAAAGACAGTGTCCGAGCGGACAATTTCAGTGTAGAGATGGTCGATGTTTACCACGTGAAGCCTTTTGTGACGGGAAACCAGACTGTTCAGACAGTTCAGATGAGAGTGAACGCTATTGTGGTAAGAAATTTATGAATATCACATTACTATGCTTTTACTATTTGATAAATTTAAGAATAATACAGACATGGAAGATTTATGTTCTGCGTATATCTCTGACAACACTTTTTAAAATTTACTTTTTTAGTAATGTTTGCTACATTTCGTAACAAAAAGGAAAACAACAATACCCGATGAGGAGGAAAGCTTGTAAATCTCAGAGTTACTTGTCCATAACAAGTAGACACTATTCATATTGTAAGTTTGAAAGAAATAAGCAGACATGGAGTCGTTTGAAAGCTGAGGCGAAAACTAAAAGTTTCGTTCTACTCAAACCTGAACTGAATTCTTACACTGCAAATCAGTGAGCCTTTGCTTACACTAAGATAATTAGCAATTTCCATTGGCACACCTGGAGAAAAGGATTTACCTTCATCATTTAAACTCTTCTATAGTCTCTTAGAATACGAATTTGTTCAACTATACACCTGACTACTTAATAAATGCAGAATGACCAACATAGAATAATTTAGACTCCCCACCTTCCCAACTTAATTAACACCACAAGCCTTCGTTTACTGCTGATACAAGAGCTGACTAATTCAGCCGTGTAAATGAACAGTAAAAGAAATTCTCATAATGCATATATACTCATTGAAACAATAGGCCGATTGTATATCACTAATCAAGTGGATAATGATCTAGTTTTTCTTTTGTTAAAAAATTCTGCACTCGATTATTATAATGCCAACATTCTTTTGTGTTCTTAATAATTTCATATACTAAATTCTACTGTTAGACTCAAAAAAATGTATTATGACCACCTGACTACACGTAGTACCGCATTAGCCATAGAAGAAAGCTCATAATTTGAAACAGCCTTATCAACTAAGTCATATAAATCCACAACAGAAAGGGCAAGATCCTACAGTGATCTCCGTTCACTTTATATTTACCCCAAAGTGTGAAGCGTAGAATAATTTAGCCAGCTTACTTACCTACCTGATAAAACAAGGAAATAAATCTTATGTTAAATGTTAAATGTATTACAAATACGTTAAGCATTTCAAAAATAAATTAAGGGTCATACTTATCAGTAGTTACTTCACTAGAATTATTAAGAGGTCTTATTTCTACTTGCTTAGAAGGAGAAAGATAATATCTGAATGGCTCTCTGGGTGATACAGTGTAAGGTGTCATCAATTTCTGTAAACTTTCCGGACATATATGTTACCCCAAGCCTACATACCAAGTTGTCAAACAGGCTTGAAATGACTTTACTCAAATAAGCAAACAATCTGCATTAGGAAATAATTTATTGCACTGTCATCATTCTAAAGATTATTCTAATTTTCAGTTTATTTTAACAGATTTTACTGCACTTATTACAAAAGCAGAATACCAACTAGCAGAAGCACCAAATCAAACTGTTAAATCTGGTATACAGAAGCCAAAAGGTGCTATAAAAAAACATTTAGGACTAATGCATTTACCTGGTTCAAATGACAAAGAGAACTAGAAGTAATCTCTACAAATCAGCAAATGCATTTGCAGAATGTAAACTGTAGAGTATTTAGTCACACATTGATGTAACTTTTACAACCACCTATTCCAAAAATCAGTAAACTCTCGTTTGGCTACTTTAAAGGACCTCCAGTAATGCATATCTAAATGGATCTAAGCACGTTCTACTGAAAAGAAACGGGAGCTATTTGGCTTAACTGAATAGTCCAACTTGGAAGCTGCTTGTAGCAAGATTATCTTAATTTAGGTATTAATCTAACTATTTACTTCTACCAGTAGTGTTTCATTTCGGAATAATCTTCTTACAAGAAATATTAAACATAGTGCTTTATTGGTAAATGATGGAAAAATCACCGCAAAAGAAAATCACTCTGTAGCTTTCTAGAGATGTTTGTCTTTGCGAGTATTTAAACTAATTACGAAATAATCTCCGGTCTTTTCGTTCAAAAGGTTTAGAAAGACATTTTTTAAAAATTTGATCAGGTAATTGTTCACTTTAATCTCTTTATTGAACAATATTTAAATTAATTTTTATAAACTACATATTGTTCGAAATGTATTGCGCTAATACATCACATTTTTCAGATAGTCTCCGTCTTCTAAAAACGCTATCAAAATTTATAAAAGGGACTAATTGTTTTTAATAAACTAAATAATTAAAGTTTATAAATTCTAGTCCTCATAAATATCTGTTGACCTCTCTTCTTATTTTAGCTGTAGACATAACAGTAACTCCAAGTTCAATTCGTGTAATTCCAAATCAGCAGTTCGAATTCGAATGTTCAACATCAATTCCAAATGAAACTCCCCAAGTCACTTTCGATGACCGTCCTGTAGAACAGGACAATCGTTTTATTGTTTCACGTCCAAGACTACAAACGATTGTTGTGAGAGCACCATATGGTTTAAGAGATTCTGGAGAGCATAGATTCAAGTAAGAATTGACCTTGTGTTTCTAAGTAGGATGATTTGTCAGGGATATGCACTGAGTTCTCATAGACATATATCTTTATAGTTGCGTGGTATGTTTGAACTTGTCGGTAATGAAATAATATAAATTATGAAATTGACGCTTTAACCACTACAATGTTGAAAACGCATTTATAGCAGACAAAATTAAACTGTGTCACAGATGAGTTGTATTTCCAGTGAATTAACTGAATAAATATTTTCAAGACTTAACTGGTATTTTCTATTGAAGATCAAAGTAACTTTTACCATACCGCTGTCATATTATAATCAGAATTTTCAAGTCATCAGTTGGCTAGACGCCTTTCCATTTTTATTTCTAATACTCATATGTTCCCTACCCAGGTGAATGAAAATTGATTCCACTGTGAATAATTTCTGACTGCCATATCAAATATTTTCAAAACCTTAAATCTATTCCGTCCTTAAGAGAGACGTCTTCATCGAATCACCAGACAACGGTGAAATAAATGGTAGGGATTTAAGACATACAATGAACTCGGATATCTATAGAACTTAATATGCAGCTAGGCTCATAATTATTGAAAAACCCGAAAACATGCTCCACTACAAATCTCCAGAGTGCACAAGTGCTTATGTTACATATCCTACAACTTACCAGTTTGTGTGTGTGTTTGGTCACATGTACATAGGGAGGAGTAATCGGGCTTTGCATGTGAGGGTGAGAGCATATTCCCAAATGGTTAGAAAAACAAATGAACTGTGCGAAATCGACAGGCGCAGTTGGTAGACCACCAACTTTGTCTATAGCTAAACACCTAATCGATATAAGTCGGAAGACTGCTGTCAAAACAGGTGTAAGATTATTCATAGGTTCCGTCAAGGGCACTTATTGAAATACGCAGAGGAGATAGTTATTCATAAACCTAACCCTTCCCCCACCCACTACCCTGTATGTACAAAAATAATTAATCCTTATCTGACTAGACAACCAAACTTAGTGCTAACTATTCTTAAATCCTTTTTTGTCACTTTGTGTACTTCAAATGCCCTTTATTTTTCATATAAGATGACTGGGCAAATAAATATGTTCAAGTTGCAGAGATTTAATTGGTTTCAGGATTTCGTCATGAACTGACATCGGTCAGAAGACCTAGAAGTACTGGACAGCTGTTTCGTTTTAGTTTGGAATTCTTCAGTAATGCTCACCTACTGAGATTCGAACCCACGACTTTCCGGTTACAAGGCGAGCTCGTAGACCATTAAGCCACTAGGACGCGATCCAATGGTCCTCAAACCTGTGTCAGTTCATAATGCAATCCTGAAATTAATATGTGATCAGACTGTTAGGAATGTACTGCGCAAACGTATCACATTTTTTAGATAATCTCCGTCTTTTCATAACCCAATGCAAATTTATTGAAGGGACTATTTGTCTTGAAGAGTAATTCACGATTATAATGAACTGTGGGTCTGTAAAGGTAATATCTGTAGTACGTGTTATGTCATTATAAGTAATTATAAAAAGCATGTCAAAAAATTCACTATTTTAGTTAAAACCAAAACATGTAAGTCAAAAACAGTAATTGTTGAAGTCATGCACTGTAGTTTTCATATAAATCAACTGAAATATTTTGCTTTTTCTTTTAGGTGCATTGTATCGACGACTGTTTCTCGAGAAGTTAGCGTTGAGGTTACAACAGGTTGTCCACCGGGTCAGTCTAGGTGTAGATCGGGAGAATGTCTACCAAGAAGAGTATTTTGTGATCGAAAACGTGATTGCCAAGATGGCTCTGATGAAGATCCGAGATCTTGTAGTAAGTGAAATGTTGTTTAGTTTGAAACCAGTGAACTAAATTTAAAAAGATATGAAAGCTAATAGATGAGTTTGAAAGACAATAATTTAAGGGATTCGCCGTTTTATTCTCAGCTACAAATTAATTAATTATCCGGGACATTAATATAAGTACTATGTTTATCTTAAAAGTCCTTTAAATTACTTCTATTAGGAAGTTTATACACTATTCTCAAGTACCAAATATCCACTCATACATCTTCAAAGTAATTCTAACTTCTGCTTATTTGTTCTAAATCGGTCATCAAATTACTGGTCTCAAAAAATCACATGTTTTATGTTTTCGCTTAACTTGCTATCACGTATCATCCAAGGAATAGACAAATTAAACTGCATTGCATTTTGTGTACATTCGACGAGAATCATTCAAAATTATAAGAAATTAATTACAATAATCAGAACGTTTCAAAAGTGTTATAATTGTTTCAAGAAGTATGTATTGTTTATGTCTGCTTACGCCTTATTTTCCTATGACGATGAAGCTTCTGATATGAATGATATCATTGGCTTTGAATTAAATTCATATGTTGTTCATACCAGTTTTACCATGTCAGAGGTTGGAAGCAAAAAAGAGACACGAATATGGTCCTTTATGCAGTTTACTGCAAAATTAGTAGTTGAGGTGTAGATACTCTCTCACTACATTCTATTTATGTACTGATTAAGACTAGATACATTTTTTCATATTTCTGAATTATAGCTCTGAACACAATGCAGTATGTAGTAAAAGTTGTTAGTTCAAAGGTGTTGAAATATTTCAAACCTTACTTATAGTTTTATTGTTATGGTAAGGTCAAAATGGTAGAACAGGGGCAGTCACACTAGCTGAACATAAAAACCTAGCAAAATCTAGATTGGTTGACCCGAATAAGATAAGGAATCTAGAGAATAGTTCAGGCGTAGATAGCAGTACATGCAATTACACACAACCATACAATAGGATGGGATAGGCTGACATTTTTAAAATCTAATGTCACAAGGTGGAGGAAGAGATTGATAACAGAAGCTTTGTTTATCGAATCAACTGCAAACACGTGTAGTAGGAATGATTCAACACCTGTCCCAAAAATCTGGAAAACTCTACTCCCCCTACAACAAATAGAAGACAAAGAAAACTATAAAAGTCAAGTTTCAAAATCGTGTTATTAGAATCGAGGTGATTATGAACAATAAATTTTGCTCAAAACGTCATCCAGTAAATAATGCTGTTTCACTATGTGATATATCTAATAAGCAAAGTAATATGATAATGGAATAAACTCTGTTTTCTTGCTGTCTTTATCTTCTGAAGTTCCATCGGTCACAATTACACCATCCACAATTCAGACAAGAATATACGAATCTTTCCAGTTCGAGTGTAGATCATCTGTGCCAGGAAGTGAACCTCAAGTTTCTTTTGAAGGTTATCCGGTTGAAGGTGATCACAGATTTACAATTCTGCGTCCAAGCCGTGAACATGTCATTGTCCGGGCCCATGGTGGTATTGCTGATCCTGGAAGATATTCTTTCAGGTACGCAGATTAATGCATGATGCTTATGCCAATTTTTAATACAGGAGTTAAATAAAAATCTTTACGATATGTGTAATATTTTCACTGTAAGATGTTTTTATACTGAAAGCAACCTAGTTCTAAAGTTTGCAGAGATCAGTCTTTATGAGAAAGAAAGAAATGGGATAAGAAAAGTCCTTTGGTAATATGTGGTGAATCTCAATGTTTCACACGAAATGTTAGTCAAAAATGTTGACGCATATTTCGACAATTTTCAAAATGCAATTTTTATCACATTTTTATTGAAAGCTGTGATTTCTTGAACATTTTTATGGTAAATAATTATGGTTATGTTTACCTGCAACATGTAAACTAGCAAAATGTAGGAATTAAAGAGAACTCTAAATGGTTTTATACGTAAACTAGGATGACTGCCTCCAGAAATTCGAATTCGTATCATCAATGCGATGGTTGAAATAGAAAGTGCTGTGTCACCTGCTCCACGATTAACTATTCTTTAAGTTGATTGTCTGTTCATTCCAAAGAAATAAATATTTCTTTTTCCTCTACAGCACTACACCATTACCATCAATGCTGAAAAATTTCTGGTCGATCGTTTTCAGTGACTGACATGATATATACTCTTAATTTTCTAAGCACAGCAAAACAATCATCCTACCATTCGTCTTCATACTTCACTGGAACTTGTTGCATAAAACTGTCACTAACGCATACAATCGAAAAACCAATAGCTTATTAATCACTGTTTTGAATAAATTATGAGTATATATTTTAGAATTTTATATTCACATGTCGTTACAGACGTTTTTAAAGACTTTTTATAGTGAGGTTTGCTCGTGTAACTTCTTCCAAAAAGATTGTTTGCACTTCCTTGTTCATTTTAAGAATTATTTATTAGAGGCCTTTGAAAAGTTATGAAAATAACTATTCAGAGTTTGTTGAACCACACTAAGCAGACAACATACTCCTAAACTCTTTGCTCCATCTTCCCTATCGAATGGTGTCAGAAATGCATCAGTCCATACCCTATACCTGTGTGCGATTGCGTTTCACTTGTTTGAGATTAAAAAAATTCTGTAGATAAAGACATAATTTACTTCAGAGGAACATCCTTTTGACCTATGGATTACTTAAGAGATATATTTCTTCCTATAGATATCTTGACTTCTTTCAATAACAATAACAACGACAACCTGAGTTCATAAGTGAAATTTAACTTTTTTTCGAAATTAAATTTTAAACTGTACTTTATTAAATGTGTTTCTTTAAAACTACATACATTACTTTAGAAGTGGCTTCACTCGTCTTTATTCTTTTATGTCTAGCTGTACCGTTTTAAGTGGAATGCCTGGAGAAATTGTAGTACAAGTTGATTCAGTGTGCCCGCCTGGTTATGCCAGATGCAGAGATGGAACATGCATCCCAGAACAACAATTTTGTGATAGAATACCACACTGTCCAGATGGTTCAGATGAAGATAGGCTACGCTGTCGTAAGTAAAACTTATTTCACATAGTTGCTTTAATACCATATCTCACTGCTATCTAAGTTTAGTGAATTAAGCATTGGTTATCACATCAAAGAGAATGTGCATCGGTGGCACAGTGGTAAGAACCATGCACATGGTCCGAGGTTCGATTCCCTGCCGACGCACACCTGATATCTATGTTCAGCCTGCAAAATTTGGGCTACCGATATCCATGCTTAAAATTCCATACTTGTACCAAAAATACAGTGTGGAATCAAGCTGTAATCAAAAATAATAAAATAAATAATTATTTCAAAAAAAACGCTTGGTCGCCTCAGTTCTACTGTTTTCAATCCTTAGAATTGCTAGTGGATAAGTTTAATTACATATCTATACATAAATATCATTCACTGTACCAGGTTAATGGTATAAAATACGTCTAGCTTGTCAGATGAAGTTTTATGTCATTCTTTAGGGATAGAGCTGTAAATAAGAAAGATATTTTAGAAATAAGATAACTCAAGTAAGTGCTCTATTTTCACGAACTGCTTCAAAATTTCTCGCAATGATACACTTAGCAAAGAGGACTTTCATTTTTCGTAACTCTATCACAGTAGAGAGTCTCACTCCTCATTCAATTTAATGCTTTATCTAATTGACTGGATAATTTTGGTTATACTTCAGGGTTGAGTATTATCTTAGGCATCGACTTATTTTTTCTAGAAGCAGGAAATGTATCCTGCTGTTTATAAAGAACAATACCTGGCATACATCTGAAAATTGTAATACTTATAAAAATATATGTATATAATTGTTGTGTGACTAGAGCTAGGAATATAAATGTCATCATATTAATACATATATTTCTTATTTTAGTTAACACCACTACTGAAACGTCTGTGGAAACCTGTATTTCATAAAAAACAGATTACTTAATTCAGCGTGCACCTCCAAAAACAAATTATTTTATGATTTTCTTTCAGTAATTAAAAACTTCAAAAGTGATATTTTGCATTTCTATTAATAGCTGAAGTAACTGTTGATGTAAGAGTACACTTTACTCCTGGTGAAATACGAGTCCAACCTGGTAGATCTTTCCGCTTAGAGTGTGTGACTGACCAACCAGGTACATCTCCAGTCGTACAGTTTGCCGATGGAAGACCAATAACAAGTGATCGACGATTTATAATTTCTAGGCCTTCAACTGAACGTGCCATTATAGAAGTTCCTGGTGGTCTAGACGCTAGAGAAAGACAAATGATACTTGAGTAAGTAAAATTTTTGAAGCTAACCGCAGAGATTCTAACATTATATAACAAAGGCATTTCATGACTACTACACATGACTGAATCCACTGCCAACTTTTCTAACCATTTGGTCAACACACACAAACAAATTTAAAAGAAATATTTGTTTTACTATTTAAGTCATCTAATGAGTTTGAGAAGTATATATATATATATATATATATATAAATTCCGTGTGCTTAGACAGTCAGTAAGTTAATGTTCATTTTTGTGACTTAGGTGTCAATTAAATATTCAACTAAAGAATATAAAACCAGTACCACGACTAATCATTAAACTTTACCCCCATAAGTTTCCGTTAGCCTTCTATTCGTAGCCTACATCACAGTCAAGTTTCTGCGTTCGAGAAATTACGATATTTTATATCACAAAAATAGTATTCTTCAGATATTAATTTTATATGCTAACAATCAACTTTGCAGATTTCGTCGGATTAAAAAGCATTTCTGCCTTACACAGCCTCTTATTCGTCAAAATCTTTTAATACAAGCAGTCTACACTTGTTCTCATAGCATGTAATTACGTAAGTTACATTTGTAATGTGTCAACATAGGCTGGTTTCTTATATTTAGTTCGAAATATTTATTTCTAGTATCCAGACATATTGTGTGAATATTTTGCTGTAATTTTGGGGTGCAAATAACTAATCAAAAAAGTTGTGTTTTTAATGAGTCAACATCAACTTTAAAAAACAATACAGACTGATAATTTATTTTCTGGTAGTTTTTCACTATTCACAATCCAATAGCTATAACTCTACCAAGAATCAAGCTAACGACGGTCAGGTTTCATTAAACGGATGTTACCACTCAGTCACTGTGTGATTTATCAAAATAAAATCTTATCCATAATGGAGTTACACTCAGTCGCCAGTTTGGTGGTCAATATTTCAATTAAGAATAGGAAGATGATATGAGATAGACGATTATAACGGGTGATATCAAGTTTATCCCCTAAACGAAGCAAATTCATTAGTACAAATTAAACGAAACAGTGTTGTTATAAGTATAAAACTTGGGCACTGTGGTAGAGTATAATTCCATTATAGATAAGATTTTATTTTGATAAATCGCACAGTGTTTACAGTAATGTTTACTGATGACGTTTCGAGCACAATTTATTACAGCTCATAATCATATCAAGGTAATCACACGACTTCCTAAATTCATTTATATAGTTCCATTGTTTTTCTCTTGATTTTCACTTGATTTGATTGGTAATAGTATTTTCCATATTTCAGGTATGAGTGACGAGTCATTCCTATTGCATGTGTTGGGTGTAGACTCGATGAACAAGGATTCAGTAATCAACCTCTCTCTCCACCTACCTAGATTACTTTTTAGAATTTTAACCCTCTCCCACCCTATTGTGTGGTTGTGTGTTAGCGCATGCATTGCAATTGCTGAGCTTTTTTCTAAATTATTTATCTTCTCGGGGTCAACCATTCTTACCTTAGCTAAATTTTTATGCTCTGACAATCTGACTACCCCTGACCTACTAGTTTGACCTATGTAGTTGACCTGAACCACAGTCATTGCATGGTATTTTGTAAATAATATTATTTTGTCTAATTGGGTGAACTGGGTCCTTTAACCTACAGAGCCTGTCCCTGAGTGAGTTTGTAGGTTTAAATGCCACCCTAATTCCTATTTTATTCAGAATCCTACGTAGTGTCTCCGATGTCCTCTCCTTATATGGTATAACTATGGATGACTTATATTCTTTCTTATTTATGTTATTATTACTAGTTTCACAATTATTTTTATTTTGTTTTTGGCCTTTAATGATCTTCCTAATGAATTTTATAGGCAAAATATATAGACAAACAGAAGGTGTAGCAATGGGATCACCAATATCCCCTATCGTAGCAGACATATTTATGGACAGCTGGGAAAATAGTGCCCTCAATACATTTAACCCTACTCCGAAAATATGGTGGAGATATGTGGATGACACTTTCACAGTGTTAAAAACAGAACACATCTCTAGCTTCTTGACACATATAAACTCACTATTAGAGGGAATAAAATTCACATTTGAATCAGAAAATGAACAAGGAGAATTAGCTATGTTAGATTGTAAGATAAAAGGAATAGAAGAAAGCAAACTACACACTAGTGTTTATAGAAAACCAACGCATTCTAATAGATATTTAGACTTTAATTCGTCTCATCCGTTAACTGTTAAGGCAGGCTTAGTTAAATGTTTAACAAACCGAGCAGTGGCACTAAGTAGCACAAAAAAAGATCTAAATGATGAATTAAAACAGATAGAAGAAGCGTTGGTGTTGAATAACTATCCTATAAAATTCATTAGGAAGATCACTAAAGGCCAAAAACAAAACAAAAATAATTGTGAAACTAGTAATAATAACATAAATAAGAAAGAATATAAGTCATCCACAGTTATACCATATAAAGAGGGGACATCTGAGACACTACGTAGGATTCTGAATAAAATAGGAATTAGGGTGGCATTTAAACCTACAAACTCACTCAGGGACAGGCTCTGTAGGTTAAAGGACCCAGTTCACCCAATTAGACAAAATAATATTATTTACAAAATACCATGCAATGACTGTGAGGTCAACTACATAGGTCAAACTAGTAGGTCAGGGGTAGTCAGATTGTCAGAGCATAAAAATTTAGCTAAGGTAAGAATGGTTGACCCCGAGAAGATAAATAATTTAGAAAAAAGCTCAGCAATTGCAATGCATGCGCTAACACACAACCACACAATAGGGTGGGAGAGGGTTAAAATTCTAAAAAGTAATCTAGGTAGGTGGAGAGAGAGGTTGATTACTGAATCCTTGTTCATCGAGTCTACACCCAACACATGCAATAGGAATGACTCGTCACTCATACCTGAAATATGGAAAATACTATTACCAATCAAATCAAGTGAAAATCAAGAGAAAAACAATGGAACTATATAAATGAATTTAGGAAGTCGTGTGATTACCTTGATATGATTATGAGCAATAAATTGTGCTCGAAACGTCATCAGTAAACATTACTGTAAACACTGTGCGATTTATCAAAATAAAATCTTATCTATAATGAAACAGTGTTGTCTTATAACACAGTTCCTATGTACTAAACATTGTGGCTTTAGGCAAGTACTGACCGAGCAGGTAATAATCAGCAGCCTAACAATCATTCTCATTACAGCACCGATAACGTATTTAACCTCCAAAGTTAAGGCTGTATATACAAGTCTAATACTGTTCGATCACATAGTTTTATCACCTGCAAATTATGTTTTAAATGCATCTATTATAGCATCCATTTAGCCGAATTCCCTTTACTCTCAAACCTCACATTATTGGAGTATGTTCTAGAGTGCATTCAACTCCTAACAACTCAATATCCCCAGTTCATTTTTCAGTTTATTAGTAATTAATCCAGAAATTTTTTTCAACTACTGGAAGGAATATATTTAATCAGCATACACAATTGTTTTAAAGCAAACAGAAGTCAACTCCTATCAGAAGTTTCTTAATATGGGAAAAAGGCTATTTTGCCAGTATCTTCAAACATTTGTTGGCTGAAATTCCTTTACCTCACTTATTTTCACTGGTATTTCTGGAGTTCTGACTCGTTTATATGGGTTTTACGTTATGTCTTGTGATGAGATATCCAAATTCTTTTTTATCAGACTCCTTTTAAATTAACTTTGTTTACTTTTATAAAGATTAATTATTCCTTAAATCAGCTTCAGTGGGTGTAAAGTATCATTATCCACTTTTTATGTTGGTTTTTTTATATTTTAGATGTATATCTCCCAGTGGAGATAGAAAGTCATCCACTATATTTGTAGAACTAGGATGCCAACCAGGACAGCGAAGGTGTCCAAGTGGCGAATGTATATTTGTTGGTCAATTCTGTGATGGTAAACCTGATTGTGACGATGGATTTGATGAAAGACCTGAAAACTGCGGTAAATTTTATTTGTATAACTTCAAAGTCCAACTTCCCCTTAAAAGTTACCTTTTCTTGTCTTCCAATATGTCAATGAAAATGATCTTCCAGACGGTTGTTTTCTTATTTGTGAAATCAAAGTCATATGTTCAATTAAGCACTTACTGCATGAGACAATTTAAAATATGAAAAGGTCTGAGGCACTCTAATGTAAATGAGATGCTGACCAGTGTACCCTTAGTTTTCAATTTTTTCTCTGTGACATTGATCCTTGAAGAAGAAACATTTACAGCTAACAGTTAACATATGTTTTTACCATGCATACTTGACCTAATATGAACAAAAGCTTCAAGTTCTAGTCATGTACACACAGTCATTAGAAAATTATATTACAAAAGGACAGTTACAATTTATATCACGAAAATAATCTTAGGAGCTTCTTTTTAATATTTAAAGTTAAAAACGATTAATTTCAACTGATTTTATTGACAGTTTATTGTAAAATTCTTGAAAATTTGATCAAACTCACTTGTTGAAGGCAAAATGAGTTTTAGGATTGTATTTTTTATAAATGCAAATTTAAATGCAATATAACTGAAATTCTGAAAATTTTCATTTGTAACAGTTTACTGTGACCCAATAACTAAACCATGTCAAGTTGTAAACGGTGTACCTCCAAGAGAAGCTACTTATGAGTTACACTGGAAATGTGATGGTGAAAATGATTGTGGCAATGGATTCGATGAACTGAACTGTATGAACGGTAAGCAACACAATGCAATGCATACGTGTCTAATTGCATATTGAATGCTATGGATTTTTAATGATTTTAGACTATTTATTTTATAGAAACATGGATATATATATATATATATATATATATATATATATATATATGTAGAGAGAGAGAGAAAGGGAATTTGTTTCCTTCAAAATGTATTCAATCAACTACTTATTAATTTCCTATGAAATATTATGTACTTTAAATCCTATGATTATTTCAGTTTCCTGCATAAACGATAAATCTATTCCTTATTTTTAGATACCCGAGTACCTGATAAGGAATGCGGCACCACTCATTTCAGATGTCGTACAGATCCATATCAATACCTACCATTTGCTTACTGGTGCGACGGTGGTCGTGACTGTCGTGGTGGTGAGGACGAAGCTGATTGCTGTAAGAGATATGATGTCATGAGTTTTTGTTTTTCTCATATTTATCACAATCATGTATACATAATACATGCCACAGGCTAACTTATATGTACTTTGTTATCGTTTTTTAAGAGCTCATTTTGTGCTGTTTTAATTTCATGGCGAAGTCAAAAATGATATCGTAACCTTGGTAATATGCATCTACAGTTTCGATTGTTTTAGCTTAGTAATATTTAGGGCATAATGTGCAGATTATTATTTCAGTCTGTGTATACTCTTTTACGTACGCTCATTTACAACTGAAAGTGAGATAACTGTGATTTTTGAGATACTTTTCACTAGGGATCGATATCTCTTTGAGAATTATTACGAACCAAGCAAACTTAATCCACTATTTCATCCTACTTTATGGATCGTCATGTATATACTCTTATGGTCTGTTATCAGTTTAACCTTGAGAATTTTCATCTCCGCAGTTACTATGCTATCGATCACCTAATGGGTTGAGACTAGTGTTAAAACCTTTGTAAATCAGCTTCGAATTGCAACCGTCATCAAATGTTTCCAGTCTGCATATCACAAACGTCAAGTTTATTAATTCAGTGAGTTCCGATTTTCATAAAGAAACATGGATAATCAATCCTTAAAATAATCACTAACGTGTCCTAGAAGGTTATTTGTTTGCTTAATTTGTGAAAAACAAGTTTATTTCACGCGCAATTTTATTACACGCCATAACTGGTTGTTAATGAAAGTTTTTTAGAAAAGGCAAATTTGAAACAGCTCAACACTAGTGGAAACACAAAAGATGCTGAAACGTATATGGTCGTTGGGCGTAAAGTTCAGTTTGTGAACTATGGACGAGTGAATTTCTTTATTATGCATTTAAAGATAATATTCAAAATAGGATAATTATGATAACTTTTTCATATGAAACCTAATTACTGAAATAATATTAGCGAAGGCAAATTTCTTGGTCACTGTCTTATACAGACTGCATTTAACTGATTCGACCTTCACTTTAAAATCTCCCCAAAGAGGTTTCCAGAAAATTAGAAATGCTGATCTGAGGACTTAAATTTGATGGAGTATAGTAAACAAAATAGCCACACTATTTTGTTAAATAAAACTTTAGTTACATGTCAGAAAATATTTGGATTTATTATTATTTGACTTGATTCTTTTATTAATCCTCTGTAACAGTACCCTAGTTTTGTAATTAATATTTCCATATTGTGTTCTTCCTATCCATCACAACAGACGGATCATTCTGTATCCAAACTCTATCTTGATTAAACACATTAATTTAGAAAAGCACTTACATTTGTAGGATGACTAAAGTGTTATTTGCAATCTACTCTTAACTGAATAAAAGTACAATTACAGTTTAACGATTACCGGTATTGCATTTTTTCAAATGCTTTTTAATCTTGAGGTTCATCCAGAATAGACAAATAATGAAGGTACAAAGAGGAAATATCATTTTCTCTAAGACTAAATATATCTGGACAATCAGCTGAAATATCATAATTTTGGTGGATAACTATTTGCTGTTGATATGATCGAGGAAATGTTTCAGTCAAGCGTAGAAACTATTCGTGAAGTAAAAGAAAACCTAATAATTTTAAACTGAGGAACTGTTGTACATACTGAATTTATTACTGGACTCTCCCTCTCTGTTTTTTTCATTCTAGCTCCACCTACGATAATTCAATCACAGCGTCAAGAGACCCATAGAGTTCGACCAGGTGGAAGATTAGTCTTAGAATGTGAAGCGTCCGGTGTTCCACCTCCTATGATCATTTGGCGTTTCAACTGGAGATGTCTTCGTGATGAAACACGCATGCGTTCTCAAGCTGTTCCCAGTTCCCTTGGATGCAAAGGTTCAAAAAGTCGCCTAATCATTGAAAACTTTAGAGAAGGAGATGATGGTATTTACAATTGTGAAGCGGTGACTTCAAAAGACAGAGCGATGTCACAGGATATATTCGTTCTTTTATCACCTTAGTCGTGTTTACACTTTCATTTGGTACGATAGAATTTTAATTAAATAACTAGTTATATTATTTAGCCATTTCATTATATGGTTTTCAAATTACTATTTTAATTTCTCACCTCAAAATAGTAATATTTTGAATTTTCCAATAGTATATATTTAAATCACTTTGAAAACAACATCTTCATTTATTTTAAAATTCAGTTTTTAATCGTGTTTCTGCACTAATTTACAGGAATATCAATATAGTAATTATTTACAAAGTTGTTTTCAGTATAGATTTTGATGGGTTTCAATGTGGAGACTTACTGGTATTTATATGCCATCACAATATTTATAAAACAACTAAACTAGACATGTGCACATCATATAAACTGTGATCAATATTTGACCGAATAGTTCCAAAACAATTGGGTGCCAATTATGTGCATCTTTTATTATTGCATTAATCAAAGAACGTTTGGATGTAATGTTCTTAAGAGAGCTATTTACCTGCAGTAATGTCAGCTAATAAACCGTAGTGTTTGTTCACGAATAAATTTTAGAAATATATATAATTTCCTTGAACACTTTCCTCCACGCAAACCAAAATATGAAGTGTTTGTTGGCGCGAAATTATAGGTCGCTAATTTTTAGACCAGTGAATTAAGAGAAATCTTTTACCAAATATTGTTGGTTCACTTCAACTATGTTCACTTCAGATCTGAATATACCGGTGATTCCGCCTAGTGAGGTGAATACATTTTGAAGATATGCCCCCAAGCAGTACACAGCAACCCTATACAACTACCTACCTTTTCGACGGCTTAGAGTTTGGTGTTCATATTGAAAAAGTGAAGTGTAATTATTATGATAAAAATCGTAAGTTTTATGATACAATAGAGGAAACCTCACATAAAGTTTTTTTAAATCACATCTTTGTGGCATGGAATGAGACATAAATGTGTGTTTATAGATAGAATAAAGGATGGGACATATGGCTTAAGAAGTCGAAATGTGACCTTTCAATACCAGTTTTCTTAGTGGAGAACTTTATATTGGCTCATTCTTAACACATATAAGAGGTTTTCTGAATTGACTCCCACGCTGATGAAGCCAATTTTGTTAAGGATGCAGATGATCTGAATTTTTCCGTATCCAATCAGACTGTTCTAAAATGAACAGCATTTTATCAGAAATTATTCAGTGATCTTTGTCAAGTGGTCTTAAGATAAATCCATCCAAATGTCAGATTGCCTATTTCACTTTCAGATACTAGCTCGATTTACATGAACTGGTTCGTTCCCATGATTCTTGTATCAAAGAAGTCACTGAAGTTGAGACTAAGTTGAATATTAAACACCTTTCATAACTCGAAAAATACCCATTTATTCATAAGTGAAAACACAGTTTTTGTTCAGCGAAGAAATTTCTTTTCAACGACTTCATTTTCAAGCTGTACAGTCGTATTTATATTACAGAAAAAGGTTATTAAGTGGCACTAAATAATTGCTCAGTCAATGTACGTATATGTGATAATAATTTTCTTTCTAGTTTTTATTTTATGTTACCACTTGAATTCTTTCCACTTCAATTCACATCTTCATTCTTATCGTAATCGTACTCCTAATTTTCATAATTTTTTAGACAACACTTGACATTTTTGTTATAGAACAATCTTTCATATTTTTGTAATTTATCTACTTCAACTCTACCCCTTATAACTTTTATCACATATACATACATTGACTGAGCAATTATTTAGTGCCACTTAATAACCTTTTTCTGTAATATAAATACGACTGTACAGCTTGAAAATGAAGTCGTTGAAAAGAAATTTCTTCGCTGAACAAAAACTGACCTTTCATAACGTCTTTCCTCGGATCTTTCCTGGTGTTCCTACATGATGTTAATTTGTAGGAAGATATTTCATCTAACCTTTTACCTAAGGAAGTTAAGATAATTCAGTGCCACTCGGTTTCTACTTTTACAATTTGTTAATTCTTGTATTCTACCCATTCTCTATTGTTTCCTTTTTATCTCTCCTAGGCTAATTAAGACAGACTTCGTTACATTGCGAAGGACTGTTAGTAGGGCAGGTGGGGCGTTAATAAGCCTACTCGTTATTTCTTTTGCAAACAGACACTTGAAAGCACGCAGTCAATTACTAAATTTAATCTTTTTCGGACTTTGAAGGTCCTCTACATGTACTACTTTCCCTTGCCTCCCATCAGATAGGAATAGAAACAATAATAAACGACTTTATGATAGAACGACTAAATGTGAAAACTTAGCGATAGCTTATTTGACACGCGTTTTGTGATGAGCAAATTTTTAGACAGGAAACTACTAACTTTTTGCGAAACAAAAAATACACGGCACTTTCCGTTTTATCGTTAATACACTGTTTACACTATTCCCTTTTAATTTAGCATTCATATCTTATTGACATTATTATTAATGTAAATGTTTAATTAATTATCTTCCCCTTGTTATAGAGTGTAAAAAGGAAAATGAGATATTATATTATACCATATGCTGAAAATTACACACTGTATCAAATGTACTGTTTGAAATAAAGGTATTATCATTAAAACATAGGGCATAAAGCTGTATACCTCTGGATAGAAGAATCCGATTTAAATTAATAGTTTCTCTTAAATTAGATTCAGAAAAGAAGGAAATCTAGACGATTAACGAACTTCACTATTCCGTTCTTATTAGTAATACATAGATTAGCTTTGATTTTTATTATTTTTAAGCGACAGAGGTTGAAGATCAAGCAAACAAAACTTCTCAATGTCCTAATATCAAGGATACCGTGTGATCTACTTACGAGCGATAAAAAACTTCAGGACCATGCAACTAAAGTAGGCGATGTTCAACCGACATAATAGTTACAGATGAAGGTAGTTAAACGTGAGGCAATAAAACAATAAGCTCCAACACTTTATTTTCTGCTGATCAAGAAACGTGAAATGAATACTTATTATAAATATTGTGAGTTTAGTTCGTTTCGAATTGTAATTTAACATGACTCTTAGATTAATGTTAGAAACTTCCACCAGAAATTTTTAGATTTTAAAAGCCATGGAACTATCAGAAAATTCACTATCCACTTTGTAAACAATGGCAACAATATAAACAGTTACCATATACCTTGGTTTTAGAAGTAAAATAATTTAAACTAATAAGATATCCAAAAACACCCAGCATTGATAAAGCTTGGCTCAAGATTCTTGACGAGGAAGACATGTTATGAATCTTCATAGACTGCACCGCATCAGCCTCTATACCATAACGGGTGGAATGTGAAGCCTCTGCAGAAAAAGGTAATTGTTGACACAACAAAACATAAATACACCTTTTGAAATCACTGAAAGTTGTTATGAGATATGTGGATATCTTATCTGTGATCTTCCAAACGTCAGAAATATTTAGTTACTGAACTGAAGTGATGTATTCGAAAATCAGTTAGTGAAATCGTGATTTTCATTCTTGAAATACAAAACTGTTGACGCTGCCTCTACTTGACAATATTTCCTTTGTTTCATAATCTTCCTGCAGTGTAAAAAGTAACTGAATCTGACTAGGTGTATCTGATTCTGAGGTTGGATGGTTTCGTATCCATCTGTTAAACTAAAATGTCCGATAAACTTTACTTTGTGCTGGTTACCTGCTCTCCACCTTACTCCCTACATTACATAAAGCCAAACTATATTTCATCTGCATTCGAAATTACAAGGTATTTTTGTACTGAAAATATGGATGAAGTTTTATAAGTTATAGTCATATTGTGATGGTGTGATACAGACAATGTGCGCCAACGGAATATTATTCTCACCCATTCCCACAGTTGATTACAGCATTAGCAACAGAATACTATGTATATTTGAACATTCTATTTCATGTTGTTTGATATAAACCGGAATCACATGCTCAGTGATTGCCTAAAGAATATAAAGAGCGGTTTTATTAATGAAAAATTTACCTTGGCTTCCGTGTCTTGCCTTCTTCTGTTACAGTATGAATGTGATAAAATTGGGGATATTATTTCTAGCAGTGATTTGAAACTTCAGAAGTGATAAGCATGCCTACCTAAGCTAATGTTAAACGTGAGATGACTATAAGAAATTTATCATTTTTAACAAGACACAAGGATTGTAGTACCCCTGTGGTGAGAGCAGGCTGCTAGCCGATTGGTTGGCACTAATCTACGTTAAGGTCTAGGTCACTAATATGGGCCGTGAGAAAATATGAACAAGGCTGAGTCAACAACCAATCACAGCAAAGTTAACGTGGCAAAATATGATTCGCAGATAGAGAACTCTATTTGTCAAGGAATCCCGAAACAACCAATCAGAAGCCTGCGTTTGTCTACCTAACTTCTGATAAACAACCAATCAGATGACTGCGCTTGTCTATAATAATGTAGTTGAAATATGTATAAATACGTGTTGATTTTCATAATAAAACGATCTGTTGCTTCGCCCTTGTCTTCTGTTGTTACATTTGGTGTCGCTGCCTCCAGAAAATGAAGATCCCGTGGCCAGCTGCGTTTGAAGAAGGAGACATAAGGAGCTTCTTACGTGACTTCGAGGCTGTTGCTGAGCTGGTGGGTGTCAAGGAGCAGGCAGCGAAGGCAGTTGTCTTGGGGACGCTGTTGAGAGGCCGAGCGAAGGCTGCATATGACAGCGTAGACAGGTCAAATGGCACAGCGTCTTGGAAGAAATTGGTTGAACGACTAGTGTCCGAGTTTGACAGCGAAACAGACAGACAGCTAGCAATGCAGCAGTTCCGGTCAATGAAGCTTGGACCTGATGGAGACCCGCTAGTGTTGGCGGTGAAACTGACTAATCTACTTCGACGCGCGCTTCCCACTTTAGATGAAGAATCAGAAGCGCAGTTACTGTCTTCCCAATTCATCGAGAGTGTCCCAGACCACATTTCTCAGCGATTACAACTGGTTAACGCAACGCAGCCGATGGATATTAGCGAGCTGGCGAAGGTGACCAGACAGCTGCTGAGCACAACGGTAGCCGCTATAGACCAACCAAAACCAAACGAATATGAGCAGAAAATTGAAGCATTGCAGCGGGAAGTGGCGGCGTTAAAGTTGGCTGATAGAAAAGACCGGTGTTTTGAATGCGGTAAGCCGGGACACTGGAGAAGATACTGCCCAGAAAGGCGGAAAAGAAAAAATTTCAGACGGTATAATGCTTGTTCTTTCTTTCGTATGAACCTAGATTTAGTGGGGGCTATTGAGAAAGGCGCTCTGTATTCGAAGTTGCGAGTGAATGATCGAGAAGTAGTATGTTTGATAGATACAGGGGCGGCCGTGTCGTTAATAGATAAGAATTTATGTAAGAGTGTTAGCCCGTGTTCATTGACAGTACAAACAGTAGGCGGGTATGTGTTGCGTATAACGGGTAGATCGAACTGTACGGTCGTTGTTGGTGGCTGCGAGGTGACGTTTCCTTTCATTGTTGTACCCGAACTACAGCGAACGATATTAGGAGCGGATTTTCTGCGTGAGATTGGTGCCATAATCGACACGCAAGCGAACGTGGTGGTCACGAAATACGGGCATATCAACATGTATGAGACCAGCGAGATAGCAGCGATTAAGCTGCCGACGGTACACAATGTGACAGAGTTAATTAGTAAATACGATCATCTGTTCACTGGAGATGGCGACCCATACGGTTATTGCGATAAGGTGAATCATGAAATTCCGTTAAGTGATCCGAAAGTAAGGTCATTTACAACGCGAAGAGTTCCATGTCATCTGGAAGGCGAAGTGGAGCGACAAGTGCAAGAGATGTTAAAAGATGACATTATTGAGGAAGCTGATAGCCCGTACAACTCTCCAGTGCTGTTAGTAAAAAAAGCGAATGGGAAGTATAGATTCTGTGTTGATTTTCGACAGTTAAACAGTATGACAGAGTTAAGACCGTGTGCCATGCCAACAGTGGTAGAAACTTTAGATCGCCTACAAGGTGCGAATGTGTTTTCGGTTCTCGATCTTCGCTCAGGATACTGGCAGATACCGATAAAACAAGGTGATAGAGATAAGACGGCTTTCATCGTGGGTCAGACACAATATCGATTTAAACGCATGCCGTTTGGACTAGCAGGTGCACCGTTTACGTTCAGACGACTGATGAAGCTATTACTTAGGAACTTGAAAAACGTGGAGGTTTATGGTGATGATCTCGTCATATACAGTCAAAACGAAAACGATCACGTCAACCATGTAGAAGCCGTGCTGCGACGCATCGAAGAGTTTGGACTACGCGTCAACAAAACCAAGTCCCAGATAGCCAAAAAGAATGTTACTCTGTTGGGACATAAAGTGGGAAATGGTGAGATTAAACCACTGCCGGAGAAAATTTTGACGATTAAAACGATTCCAGCCCCGAATTCAAAGAGAAAACTGAGACAATTCTTGGGTAGAGCAGCGTTTTATAGCCGCTTCGTGAAGAACTTCAATGAGATAGCAGCCCCTCTATACAGGCTACTAGGTGAGCCAAAGTTTGTTTGGTCGGAAGAATCGCAGAGGACATTCGACAGAATTAAACAGCTGCTCGACCACCAACAAATGACGCTAAAACTACCTGTGCCAGGAAGACAGTTCACAGTGTGCACAGATGCCAGTGACTACGCTATAGGTGCGGTCCTAAGACAGGACGAGGGAATCGTTGAGTATGCCAGTAGGGTTTTGACACTCGCAGAGAGAAAGTATTCAACGATAGAGAAAGAATGTTTAGCAATGGTATGGGCAGTCGACAAATGGAGACCTTATTTACTCGGCCGGCGGTTCCACATCGAAACTGATCATAAGCCGCTACAATTTTTGAAGACAGCGAGAGACCCACGGGGGAAGTTGTCACGGTGGATGTTGCGTCTTCAGGAGTACGATTTTACGATCTCACACGTTCCTGGAAGTGAAAATGTCTTGGCAGATTTGTTATCGAGACCAGAAGATGAGTCTGAGTTGCCCGAGGTCGCTTACGGAGTGCATGCAGTAGAACAAGACCCACTAAGACTTGCACGTAGGCAGAGGTTGGACGATACGCTGAATACAGTAATACAGGTGATCACCAACGGAATAGAAGTGGATCAAACTACGGCGAGTAAGGAGCTAACCACACTACTCAGACAGAGGGATCGACTCAGAGTGAATGCCTACGGGACTCTGACCTGGCGAGAGAACGACGGAAGCTGGCTGGCTGTCATACCTCAATCGTCGCGCCACGACATGATAGAAGAATGTCACCAGCTAGCGCATACAGGCGTGGCCAGAACGACCGATCTCCTAAGACAAAGTATGTACTGGCCAGGTATGAGAGAAGACGTAGCAAGATACGTACTTGGATGTCCACGGTGCCAGCTGATGAAAGGTGACCGGTGTATACGACCACCACTTCAGTCGATTCCAGTTACCGCGATAGGTGACTTGTGGTCCGTAGATGTCATGGGTCCATTTCCTCAGACATCCAATGGTAATCAGTACCTCTTGGTGATGACGGAACACGCGACACGATGGGTAGACGCCGTAGC